GGAACTTTCTATATCAACTTCTTTATTGTCAGTGCATGGATTACTAAACCCACCCAGTAGTCTTAGAGTTTTGTTAAAGTGTAGTGACTCACATTTATCACGAGAACACGACTGGTTTAATAAAAACAATTATTATTATAACCAACTGTACCAGTGTTTGTTTTAACGTGCTTTTGTTTGACTGTGCTAATGACAGCTATATTGTGCTTCCATTCTTATACTTACACTTCGATTGTAACTTCGCGCGAATTCGGTTACCTGTAACCAAGGTTGTATCTTGGCACGATCTCGGTATCCTTTCGATGCCACGAGATCGCCAGCTAATAAACCTCGACTTGGTCCATTAACTGTCTTCTGATATTTGGCTTCTCGGGGATTTTATGGATCTATTTGGTTACGTCCAACTCTCGCCTTCTGATTCGCTTGGCACGTGTTTCTTGGTAGCGGTGTTCATAGTTAACCTTAACTCGACGCCACGCTACAATTGGTGAGCCCAAAGTTTGGAACACGCCTCAACCTCGGGTCAAACCTTCCAAAGAAGCCAATTCGGTGAGTCTATGATTTATCTATCCACGTCTGTCGTATATTTTCATATTTTTTAATGTATAATATACTCGACATGACGGATAACGATAAGAATAGTATTAATATAATAGACTCCCATCTATGTGTACCGAATCCTTGTTACTTTTTATTCGCGTGACGATGAATTCCATGCTTTATTTGAGAAATTTTCCCCTATTAACTATTCTCCTCGCTGACCCGGCTGCTTGGTACGGAATGCATTCGCATACGCATTAACGTCTACCTCCCAGCATCAAATGGTTAAGTTGATCGGTTTCACTACCAACTTAACAATGCTCTACGAGCACATGAGGACGACAACTGGTACGAAACCTTATCGCTCGTCCCCTTAGGTATTCGAACGAGCTTGAAGGCAGATATACAATGTTCCGCCGCCGAACTGGTATACGGCACAACATTGCGTCTGCCCGGAGAATTCTTCACACCACGGAGCAGACCTAATTTCGCTAAATCAGACTACGTCCATCGACTGTCTGCATTTATGCGAACGCTGTCTCCAGTCTCAACTCGAATACAACATCGACAGGTCGCTCTCGAGAGAGAGTTATCTACCTGTTCACATGTTTTTGTACGAGTAGATTCGGTACGCAAACCTTGGCAACAACCTTACGAAGGCCCTTTTCACGTGATCGCTCGTCACGAAAAGACCTTCAAGGTTGATCGACACGGCCGCGTCGAGATCGTCAGCGTTGATCGTCTCAAACCAGCACACGTCGATGACAGTGCCCCATCTGATAACCTGATATTCAGTGCTAGACCTATCAAACCTACTAGCGGGATCCTCAAACCATCTTCAGGTCCCATGCTAGATACATCTGAGACCTCATTCTCACGTCCCAGTCAACAGCACGCGTCATCTGCAACGTCTACGGATGAGACGACAGTCTCACGTCCAGATCAGCAGACCACGCCGCCCAGCTCCGCTAACAAGAGGAAGAAGACCAGTTCATATGACGGAATAGTTTATTCCACAATCAGCCAAAAGTGCGAACAAAACAATTACACAACTCAACTACATTTATATAAAATTAAACTATCCTTTGGAAACATCAAAATGTAACATTAAAAAAGGGAATGAACCGATGACGTTTTGGTTCCTCGTTGTATCGTAAGAATGAGCAATATAAACTCTAGCGCCCCTGAAGGACACAGTTAGGCTAAATACAGAATAATGTATTTAATGTGGGTAGGCATAAGTTATGCAGAATGACCACGTCTGCAAGGATGAGCCATGCCAATGAATTTCGAATGATTTTTCCTGCGTTCATCACTGTTGGCATTCTTTTCGTGTTAAGTGTTGAATATCTATGTTTCCAGTTATCTCACGTTCAGCTTTGAGGATTGCATAGTTATGCTACTACAAACCTTTGAATTCTTTGGCCGTCTGATTATGATAGACGGTTTGTAACCTACCATTTTAAAATGGTACATAGTTGTGATGTTAGGTTTATTGGTTAAGAGTTCACTTCAAACAACTAAGCATGTGTCAAGACAGTATAGTTCAAGTATTCATTCACTTCTTTATTTTGTATAGACGTTATATTTCCTATTACCTTATGTTGAATATTCAGAGTCTATTTGTCTGGACAAATAATCCCACGCTCCACTGTGACTGCACAAAGATCTAAATAAAGACTTATTCACTACTTGTCTGGTTTCTTCTATCAATAACACAAGGGTTACCTAGAGGCACGAAAAGTGGACTCAAAATAATTCGCAGACATCCTTGGCGACTGAAGGAGACACTACAGAGTATAAATCTCGGTAGCGAATTTCCTCAGATGTAATATGGTTTCTCGTAAAATAGTACTCCAGTTGAGCGAAACATAACCTGGGGTCACTACGGTCAAATTCTGGAAGTAGGGCTTAGGTATAACAGTGTCTATCTCTACCACTGATAAATTACATTTATCCTCCAGGTTTTCGGTTTGGATGGAGCCTGACATGTGGTATATGACCAAAATATTATTATGATATGAATAAGGTAAAATAATGGCAACACAAACAATTTGCGACTAAAAACAATAGATATAAATATATACACGAAGTTAATGTTAATCAGAAGGCTTACTATTATAGCTAAGAAAAAAATAGGCAAAACAGAAATTAATTTTTTGTGTTAAAAACAGGGCTCACCAATTTCTTACTAGTGGTTATCATTCGTTCTGTCGATAGAAGCATGTAGTGACTCACCTTTATCACGAGAACATGATTGGTTTATCGAAAATAATCATTATTGTAACCAATTGTACCAGTGACTGTTTTAATATGCTTTTGTTTAACTGTGCTAAAAAACATCCATTATACACACTCTGATTGTGACTTCGCGCGGTTACGTTCTGTAACCAAGCTTGTATCCTAGCACGATCTCGGTATCCTTGTAGTGACATTGGACCACAACCACACAATCCTCAAAGCTGAACACTAGACTACTCAGAAAATAGATATTCAATATTTAACGCGAAGAAATACCTAACGATGGAGAAGGCGAGAAGAATGTACTGAATGAACTGGAGTTGGTCGAATGGCTTGGCTCGGCCATGCAGGCGTGGTCCCTCTGAATGTTACCTTATATCTTCTATTCATATTAAATATATTGTTCTTTCTCTAGACTAACCTTGTTCTACATCATGTATTGGTAATTGATACGATACAGTGAGGTGGTGTAGTCAATGGTGTGACTTCCACGTAAGATCTTATGGATTAGGCGGTTATATCATGACAAATCTACAATTTTAGGATTAGGTCTATTATTAGAGCAGTACTAATATCATAGTAGACCATAGTTCTAAATCCTTTCGATACCACAAGATCGCCAGCGATCTTCCGGGGAATTTTATGGATTTATTTGGCACGTGTTTCTCTGTAGCGGTGTTTATAGTCAATTTCGACTCGACGCCACGCTACAAGCAGTTACACTTGTGGTAGATAGGTCTTTATTTAGACCACTGGGCAGAATGGTTGGAGCGCGCAGTTATGTTTTCAAACACACATTTTTTCGATGTTCAGTATACAGTTATAGGAAATATAATGCCTTGTAAGATGAGGAAGTGAACGAGCACTTGAGCTATAATGTTTTGACATTACTAAGATATTTGCGACCGATGTTTAATTATTAAACCTAAGTTGTTACTAATCTTCATTGAAGAACATGATGCAGGGCTTAAAACAGTTTGGAAAACGTACTAACCCGATAAGCGAAGACTGAAATTTACCTTTGAATCGCACACACAGCTGTTAGCCATTAGATGGACAAATGGAAGTGTAGTATTTCTTTTAAGGAATCTACATCCCATGAGCTACTTGTGTGTGACTCAAAGAAAGCTGCCTAATCACGAATATCTTTGAGGCTTGACAGAGATATGACAATAAAGTTTTGGTTCGTGTCAACAATAGGCTAAAAGTCGGTGTGATTAGTACACGGAAAGGCTTGAATCGGGTTCACAAGCTAGAAGGTAACTGAAGACAGGCAACAAAATTCTCAATCATTTATAATGTATATATAGTGGTATATAAATCCCCAAAATAAATAGTCCGGTAGGTCCGGCATTCAATGCTTACGTCGTTAGTTTCAGTGGGCACACCTGGCTAAAGGCTCCTGATCACACACCCTCACCAGATCATGAGTGGACACGTCGTGCTACTCATCTCTTACAACCGTTAGTCAGCTAAGACTAAAAGCTTCTCGACATATCGAAAACTTTTAACATACCTTCGAACCTCTCCATTTCTGGCCTCTGATTTGAGTGGGTTGTCATTCTCTGATTATAACGGAGTTACGTGCAAACGTGTTGTCGAACCTCGAATACCAGAGGTATCTTTATATACATACAAAAAATGTTAAGTTGTTATAAATCTAGCAATGCGCAGGATTAATCTACCGCGAGATCACTAGTTACCACTAACAACCAGGGCTATGTCTTGGTCAAGAGACGATCTGCAAACAGAGAAATGGGAGAAAAAGCCTATCACAAGTCTACTCTGTTTTATCCTCAAAACAAAGTCTCGAATACTAGTCTTTTACAAATACATTGAACACTGTGTAGTGCAACCGGGGCCCTTCGTCATTAACTTCTAGTTCCGATTGTCAGTTTATCTTAATCTTATATTTGTGTTGATGTTAGCGATTATTTTCTTTGTTGGATATAAATGCATTCTGTGGGCTTATTGAGTCGTCAGGTCAACTTTCCTCTTGTTTTTCCATCTCCGGATTCTCTTTAGCACATTGCTTATCACATATCCACGGCACATAAATATTTTCAAGCTAGACACACAACTATCAAAGGTTGAACTTTACAACTGTTTTATAAGGACTCCCACTTTTATAAATGGTGCGCTACAGCGTCGTCTCATCGTAGTTTTTTGTTTCCAGATTCTGATTCATTTCTTTAGTCATATTTAAAAAACTACTAAATATGAGTCAACTCTTAAAACAGGCCAGGGAGTTATATAAGGCCGAAAAGTTTGAGGAGTGTTATAAACTTACTGGGGTAACCCAATGTTAACCAAAATTATACCTATATTTCAGGAACTGCTAGTTAATTCACAAGATTATGGGACACTCGTTATTCATGGAGCCTGTTGCTCTCAAATTGGAAACGAGAAGGAAGCGATTGAATCATATTTTTCCGCTCTTTCGATTGATTCTACAAACAACATGGCTTGGATTGTAAGTTTGTTCAAGAACCGTGACTTTTGGGTATTTGTTGGGATGTAAGTCATAGTCAGTGTCACAAAGCTAGAGTGGAAGTAAAAGCAACATGTTGGGCATACGTTATAAAGACAACTGGAGAATATACAAAGCGCCTTCACTTTTCACTTGTACTTCATCCCGATCGCAGTTTCAACATCATTCTACGGTTTAAGGAATTGAACCTGACATTTATTCGCACCTTAGCTAGTATGGTCTTTTATAAAGGGTTGGTATTTGTTGTGATACTCAAGTTATGCAGTATGTAGTTCTAAGTAATGAGTATGAATTCTACTTAATACAAAATGCCATTTTTTACTGCTTATCTTATCCCTTATTAAATAACTCGAAGTTTTTTTGCGTTTAATCCACCATCAGGGTCTTTACAATGAAACAAAGAAAAACCCGGACAAAAATCAAAGAATTCTCTTAAGAGTATGCACAGTACTAGTCGGAAAATGCTCAAAGTACGTTTTTGTTTTATGACGTCAATTAAATGCATATGTAATTTGGCTATTTCCAAATACTTTGTGATCCTTTAAAGTGAGCTCGCGACCACTCAACAATTATTTTGTCGACTGATTTTTCAGATCAGACCACACTGGAAAATATTTAGAGTACGCAAAAACGCTTGTTCAAATCGTGGTTCAGTTTCGACTACCAGTAAGTTTACCGGTTTAGTTTTTTTAAACTCACAATCGTTTTTTTCTGTCGGTCAAACTTTTCTGTTTGTAGTGTAACCCTGATTAAGTGCAAAACAGTATCAGACATCGCGTCTTTTAGTTAGTCAAGTCGTTCCTTTTTGATAATGCACTGACCTATTTGTAGACGTTTTTCACTAGGTAGATGCGCTCATTCGACTGGAAAATGATCGAAATATCCCCTTTTTATGCTATTCATCTCTTATTCCCAGTTATGTCTAGGACGTTAATTGAACTTTGACATTGATGATCGTAATGTTCCACAAATTGATTGAATTTAGAAATATGGATGATATGCGGTGCTAAAATTAGAACTGATGGTCAGATTGTATCATCACTAGCGCTTAATTGACCTGCTTAATCGTTATCTCTTGTCCATATTTCAATTAACTTCTGATCACGTTTATTTCTCAGTGGTGTAAAGGTCTTATGTTCTCTGGAAAATATTATTTAAGATCTCTGATATCTACGACTGTGTAGCTCTAAACCTGCACAAAATAACTATTCAATTAGTAGGACAACTAAATTTTTAGGTCTTTAAACAAGCTTGTGAGACCAGGACAAATATCAAAAAAGGTCAGTAACGAATGTAATCCAGTAGACCAGTGCTTCCTCGACTATACTATGGGTCGAAACGACACAAACCAAACATCTCACTATGTCCAATTGTATCGCTCTTTGAAACCTTAAAGTACAATTTATCAGGAGGAACTTCAAAGATATTGGACAAGTCAATGCATTTATCCGACAACTTCATTAAATCTCCCATACAATTCTCGGATAAGATTAGGGAGGTTCAATTGAGCAATGACGACCTGATGATATCCTTCTACGTAACAGCCTTATTCACCTCAGTCGAATAGAAACTCTACCCCTACTACTCACCAGTAACACAAATGTCCAAAAGTACACGAAGCTTAACATATTTTAAATTCAACAATGAAATCTACAAACAAACGAATAGAACACCAATAGGATCACCAATTTCAAGAATCATTGCAGAAACAGTGATACAGATACTAGAAGCCTCGATTTCACCAATGATCGATCTAAAAATGTGGATACGTTATATGGATGACACATTCGTCATCATCAGAAAGGTTGAACTGGGAAACACTTACAATCCGATAAGTTAAGTCTTTGATGACATAAAATTCACAGTGCAAGAGGAGTCGAAAAACAAACTATCATTCTTGGACGTATTGATCATGAAAACTGACTCAGTAGAACTGTAGATCCAATTATATCGGAAGCCAATCTACACAGATCGAATCCTCAACCACAATAGCAACAGCTCAACAACTCAAAACATAAATCACATTCAAGCTTTACTCAAGAGAGAGAGAGAACCTACCGCAGCACATTTGCAGCGTGCAGAATGATGTGGAACATCTAATGACTAGCCTTCAGAAGAATGAATACCCACTCAACTTTATCAAGAAATATCAACTCAGCTCATCAGCAAAAATGAAACCAAGTATAGAAACCAGTAAACGGATCATCCTTCCATATATAAAGATCAGAAATTACGAGATTATTGAAGCCGTTCGAAATAATTGTAGCACACAAACCTGAAAAATCGCTCCAATAAATCCTATGCAAACCAAAAAAACGGAATGACAAAGGAAGAAAAGCCAAACGTTATCTACAAAACAAACTATTCCAATAGGAGAAAACGCTATACCGGACAAAGTGGGCGCCATTTTCATCTTCACCCGTATGAGCATAAATTAGCTGTCGAACTCAATGACATATCTTTGCTTATATCAATACATGTGAATAAATTCGGGGACAAATTAGACGGGAAAAGTATAGAAATTTTGGATATAGGGAATACTAAGAACAAAGAATTTCTGGAAGCTCGACACTTGAGTCAATCGGCAATCGACAAACATCGGTATTGATGCAATTTATCCAATCATATCACATTTAAAGAGTTTAGAATTACAAACAACATATGAATTACACGTCCGAAACTTGCCATAGAACGAGCATTTACCAAACTCGTGTTCATCTTCGTGACCTGCTCTGCAACTTCTCAATGAATTGTTATCTGAATAACCTTGATTACGCATTAGAATGGGACGACGTAGTAAAGTGGTGTAATTCTTGATGCCCTGACAAATCATTTTACGAAAATTTTCTTCTTTACCGCATTCAAATTTTGTACACTTTACATGGTCCAGTAGTAGTTCATTGAGAGTTGCATAACGGAGTGAAATCGGTTTGTCTGGATATGCCTTTATTAAGCTGTATGCTTCTACTCCGATAAGTGTAAGGAAATGAGCTACAATATTAACATCCTCAATATCTTCCTCGGTCATAGTCCAGATTTCGAACCTTCCCACATAATCATCAGAAGTATCAAAATTTGAATTTATGTCCAACCGCTCCATCACAGGCTCCATCGCAATACCGATGTGATGATTTGAAGTATTTGGATTATAGTACAAAATAAGAATCCCAAGAAGAATGCAATTTAGACCGACGAGAACTAGATGAACACAAACGAACGTATTGTATTTGAAATTCTAAATCAGGCAGTCATGAAGTACAAAGGAATCATCATTTCATGCAAACATCACATTAGCTTATTATCCAGAGTGATGAGGTTTCAGATTGTTTTCACATTTTCTTAATTGTCCTTGTCTCTCCTTACCCTCCACTTCTAGTCTAGTTGACCTTTTATTTTTATAGACAAATGATCTTAACAAGTATGTGTGTGATAAGATTGTTCGAAATTTATTGCGACAATATATCACATAGTTCTAATACTCTTCATCTTCTTATTACACTATCGAAATTTATCAAAGGGACTAATTACTTTAAGGCATTTTACCTGAGTTTCGATTGTTTCTAACTTTTCTAAATTTTTTAGATCACTCGTGTTATTGGTTTATCGGATCAGTCTGAAATTTTTACCCAAAACGCTGTGTTAGAAAGATATTTACATTACTATATAGTACCGATTTACTGTAGTTCATCACATGAAGATTTATTTACTTCGCTGTGAGCCGCATTCTCGGAATATCACCCGATTGCGGGGTTCAAACTTGAGACTTAGTAACTGAAAGTCTGGGGCCCTGACCATTGAGCCGACGTTCCACGTATTGCTGAGACTCCATGAGTATGGGAATGATATATCGTCTGAATTTAATCTCTGTCATCTTATTGCCAATGATAATGTAAACATAACTTTTTATCTTTGATTATCAGCATTTTCCATTTACTGATCATATTCAATCTCTTTCATATCTGTATAAACTGCTCTAATAAGTTGAAAATCCAGTTTACATTACAGCACCACTGAAAATTAAATCGTTTCCGTGGTATTCTTTCAGTTCTTAGAGGCTTCTTTACAGCAATCGTAATTAGCTGTCAGAGTTCACATTAATAATGCCTGGAATCAGGGTTCGAATCTCCCAAAGAGGGAGAGAGAGAAATTATTTTGACCTGAAGTTACTGACACATCTCTCTCGCGAGAGGCAGAAAACAAAATTCATGTTCAAATATACAATCATTTATTGTTAAATGTGATTCAAAGTATCATTTCATTGTCATAGTCCTTAAATCACTGACACTGGCACTGTCTTTTGTTCCACAAATAAACTGATTGCATTAAAATATGTTTTTTTATCTTTCGAATTATGGTTTGTAGAGATTTCTGGTTAGTTCATGCACTTAATTTTTTGCTAGTGGGTTGATCACGCGGTCAACATCCTCACCTATCAACAATTTACTAATCAATATACACAGTGGATATGACTCATAGTTTAGTACATAAATTTATCTACATTTATTAGACTTTATCAGTCCATCATAATTTACTCACATTATAACAAGACAAAATATTTCGATTCATCGTCGGTGTTCTATGTTTCTTCAGTTTTAATAACTTAAATACAACTACTTAGATATTAAAAATACGCCTCAAGCTAAGAAATACTTCTTACAAATTCGCTTTCTATCATGACTCAACGCTAATGCATAGTTTTGCACCTAAATATAAAATAACTATCAATGGAATGATGGTAAGTTAATCTGATAATAATAATAACAATAATAATAATAAGCAGTCCAAGTCGATTGATTATTAGAATGAATTACATATTTTGAGTTTCTTAATTCTCAGCTTTATTATCACTAGATTTGACAAAAAGTTGATATTATTTATCTGTTTTCTGCTTTTATAGTTACCCTTTGATTTTAATGGATTTAAAGATATATGCGAATTTGTTCTTGAACACGATCCAGACAATGTATATGCTCTTGAAGCTACTTTTCGTTTACAAATCGAATATTTCTTATGTGAGTTTAGTTAAGGGTATGTAAACTTGTACTTTGTTTGTTTTCAGGTTTGGCATACAAAATAATAAGATGTATTATCTTCCTAAGTTAGTACTGTCATACACGATGTCACCAACCATTTTCATTGACTATGTATTGTTCGAGAAGACAATCACATAATGTTACAGGAGTTAACTGGACATATGCGTTTTATTACAACATATTTCATATTTTACTTTGATAAACATTTATTAGATGTGTACTTTTGAAGAAAATGACTTATCACCTACCATTGGTTTTTCGTTTAATTATGCAAAACATTTAAAGGTTTTAAATTTATAGAATACTATTTTGTCAAATTTCCCCGGTTTTACATTATTTTAGTGTTAAAAACTTAATGTGAACGGAACTGTGTTTTGAAAAAAATAAGAACAAAAATACTTTAACTCAATGGTCAATAAGCAGGTTGGCTGTAGACAATACCCTTCTTTCTAGGCCTAGTAACACTTTTTCTGATTAAATTATGGTTTAGTGAAGTCGTGCATTCTGTTCAGATTACCTCGGTATAGCCTACTATAAAACAAATTAATGTATAATAGATGACGTGTATCTAATAATGAAATTCAGAACTCACGTTACGTCCTATTTGAGATTTATCAGCTTGTTGTATCTGCATCCCAGATTTCCAAATGGGGCGAAATGCGTATCCTAGCCACATTCCATCTATTCTATACATATATGAATATTGTCATAACTCATAAAAGTGTTTTGCGCTAAATTATAGTGAAAAAAAGATATGTAGGGGAGCTAAAGCAGCTTATTTACCAGATAATAAGTTTTGAAAAGTGCAAGTAAAGGAAAAATATATGTTCAATGGTATTGGATGTTTGACTGTCTTGTCACTTCTCCCTCATAAATCAATGTATGAGCACATTGTGTCATAAAAAATAGCCAGTTTCTTATGAATGAAGCTCAAAATCTTATTAGTTAAACACAATTTACTTCAATAAGTGGATAAGATGGGGTACCAATAAAGACTCATTCAATTTAAAGTTTAGTTCTTGTCATCAACGAATATATGTCAGATGGAAAAGGAATGATTGGCTATCAGAGGATATTAAATAGCTTCTCATCTCAGTTTGAAACTTCTCAATGGTAGTGCTTACGATTTCTCTACAAAGGTCGAATTAATGACCGTTAGGATTCTCAATATGCAAATTATCCCTTAAGACCATTAGGTTTTAGCCTTCTGCAGTTTATATTTTAAACTGAAAACGAAAACTATCTCCAAATTGAATTAATTTCTACAAACCAACCGATTGTTGAGTAGTCAAGGGATTATTAGTGACTAACTTTGAAATAAATGTCATAAGTTCTGGTGAGAAGTTGAGACTGTTGGAATTAACTCATATGAATATGAGACAGTTATTAATTAATGTCTGAATATTATCATCTCAATGCGCTTGAATAACAACACACCGTTTGATCAAACTTATGACATTAAAGTTCTTTTGACAATCCCTGTCTGTTGCACCTTATAGGCAAAGAATTTTTTAAACCATAACTTACTGTATGTTGTCTGAGTAACCATTTCATTACTTAAAGTTGTGAGTAAAACGTGTTAAGTAAACTATTTATTATTTAAATACTTAAACGTTGGTACAGGGAGGCACCACATTTCGTCACTCGGTTTGTGTGAGGGCTGGAATAGTGCCCAGACCAAAGCAGGTGGTTTTGTTAGGGGGCCACTTCTCGAGCCTTTGACCTAGAGGTCCAATTCACAAGGCAGTAGGGTAACTTTTGGAGATGCAGTCGTATGGTAGCCGGTGACCAACAATAGGTTAATACGCCATTTGTTCCCTCAGGATCCTGGTGTCCATATTCACCGTTGGTTTGAAATGAAGGTTAACCCATTCCTCTAAGTGGATCCTCCATACCCACCAACCCGGTTAAAGCGTCGGATATTCGCTCTTCGTCGTCTGAATTTCGTTTAAAACACCCTCGAAGAGAAGGCAGTGACTAGGACTTTCGTGGGAGTGTCTGTACACGCGTGGCGATGTGAGAGCATTTGAAGAGAGCTACCTCTCTCCACGGTCGACCGTACCATGCCATTTCTAGGCTTTCATGTTTATTAATCATTAATTACACAAAACAATGGGATACTTTTAATACTATAAATATGATTGTAAAATATCACATGGTTACTTGCAAACATTTCTGTTACTGATTTTTTCTTCCTTTAAATAAAAATAATCAGTCTATGGATTTCCTGAATTTATTGACCAGAGTTTATGTAATAAATTAAAATTCAAGAATATAACGCAACAGTCAAGAGTACCCTGTATCACTTCATCAGCTGTGTACCTCAAACGATTAAAACAATTTGAACAAATGTTAGAAACAATACAACAATCAACCGATGTAACTAAAACAACTCATATTACACTATGTTTGAGTCAGTTGTTATATCGTTTATATACTTATTTCATTCCCAATTATTCATCAACCAATAATGTGGATGATGATACTACAAATTCTAGCAATCAGGATAATGAAAAATGTTCAGATTTATGGAATCTTATTCAAAGTGATATTAACAAACTTGATTTCAATGGAGTTGTTGGATTTGTCAACTGTTCAAAGAATGGAATAATTGATCTTCATGGTAGGTAACCCATGTTTGTGTTTTTGTACTTGTTGTGATGGAAAAATTAGAATTTCTCTGATTCTGTACTGAACACTAGAATTAAATATCATCAGACTGGGGAATAGATCATGTGACACAGGAATCAATTACCTAACCAGTATTGAAGAACCAAGTTAGATCACAAGGGTATATGTAATCAAAGTGGAAAATTATTGGAATGGATAATAAGCAGTATGAGATAATCTCTTAAATCTAGTATTGTCGAATATATCTGTTTTCGTTCAACGATCACTCATGGTTGACTTTTATCAGGCACATCAGCCCTATTATCCTTGTTAAATTCAATGTTTTAAATAGTTAAATGTTCAAACATCAACCTGTACCTCATCACTATATCATTTTAGAAATGGTACAGATTCATCCACTCTTTCTCTTCCTTTGATCCTGAGTTTATACCTTTCATTTCGCGAATTAATTCTTCTTCAATCATACTCTTTATAGCTAATTTTTCCTACTGTCCCTGATACTATTTCTGCTGCTTCAGCGAGACTATAGTTTAAGGACGAACTAATGAAATAAAAGTTAGAAAGTCTCGGATTTTGGAATGAAGTTCTTGCATCCATATAGCTAAACAAAATTTTGGCATTGCAATTGATCTGTTTGTGATGAAAACCCTATTTTCTGACTGTCCATTTTAATCCTAATTCCTCTCACTAATCTATAACCTTCTTTTGACCCCAGTAATTAGGTGGATTTTCTCAAAGGTCGTTCATAAATTATAGTCTCACCACTACTTAGGTACTTGTGGAGGTTGTAGTATTTTAACAGTTTAATTTACGAGTCAATTTAAGCTAGATCACCACTGGAAACCGGCTCAGTGGTCTAGAGGTTAAGTGTTCATGTGCGAAACCGAAGGTCCTGGGTTCAAGTCTTGCGTCCGGGATCGTGGACGTGCACTGTTGAGGAGTCCCATACCGGGACGAAACTGCTTTCCAGTGTTTCTGGGTTTTCAGTGGTAGTCTAGCTTAGATTAACTCGTTAATTCATCTGTTAAAGAACATTCTAATCCACTGTATTAAGTTTTTTATAATTTTTATGGGATGTAAGATAAAATACATTCATTTTTAAATCTCACTTAAAAGCTCAAATTTAGTTCTCTCGATCATGATTGAATAATGCATTATATTGTAATATACTGTAATTATAATTTGCTCAGGGGGTTCTCCTTTGAAAGAAAATGAGTTTACAACAATCAGTTTTTCTTAATAAATTTAGTTGATATGATGAAAATGACGAATTTTTATCAGAATTATGTAATTGACATTAATAAAACAATTGTGGTTTTTTTCATAAACGATAAATTTTGAGGCTATAACCATAAATATCAAAGAAAACAATAGTAATTGGTGTAAGTGTTATCGAAATATGTGCCCAATATATCCGAGTGGGCACTTTTTTTCTCTCCAGAAATTGCTGTCTGAAAAGATTACGAATTTACTTAATCTGTGAATGGAACGAACACTTTGTGACACAATGACAGATAAGCTAGCTCTTCCGATGTGTCTCAGCCCAGTTAACTAGAAAGAGAAGTTCATGTTTAGAAGAGGGAAATATATTCCACAAGCAGTCAGAAGCACAAACAACCACGACAAGTCTAGTTGAAAATGCACTCATTTATATATTGATTCATGCACCCATTTTTGATTAATAATTAGGATGAAATCACATATATGAAAAATACTTACAGTTATAACAAATCATATACTGAGCATAGTACATGTCAATTGAATACAAGAATATCGTATGTTATATAGAATAAAAAGGTCATACGGGAAAGCAAAACCGAATGCTACATTGAATAGCCCCCAAATGCCCTAGTACGGCCGAGAGTGGGGAGAGTCCGCTCTCCCTCTCGAAATGCTCTCACATGGCCACGCGTATATAGCCTCTGCCAGGGAAGTCCTACTCATTCCCTTCTCGTGGCGGGGGTGTTGTTTACGAAAATGGGAGGTCGAAAAGCGAATGTCCAGCACTTTAAATGGATTCTAAACCAATGGTGCACATGGGCTCCAGTATCCTGAGGGAACAAATGGCGTATGAACCAATCGTTGGTCACCGGCTACCATGAGACTGCATCTCCTTGCGATGCTCCACTGTCTTGTGGATCAGACCTTTAGGTCGAGGGCACCGGGTGTGGCCCCCTAAGAAAACCACCTGCTTCGGTTTGGGCACCCGGGCAGTATCACAGCCTTCACACATCGAATGAGATTTGTGTAGCGCATATGTATTTGGTGCCTCCTTGTACCAATATCTATGTGTTAAAATAAATAAATAAATAAAACACTGAATAATCATTACATTGAATTAAAACGGAAATAATGTTAACCCAAAGATCATAATAAGTAAATCAATCTAATTTTGACTTTTCATCCCGTCATATCCGAAATACATAAAAATTTAACATACTGTAATCACATTCAAAATTGAATCTGAACTATTAATAACATGATTACTGGAACTCATCGTTATTTAAAAAAAATGATCACTACACAAATTATTGATTTTTGTATCATTCTTGAATTAATAATAACCGATTATATCATTTTTAAAATTAATAATATTGCTAAGTGACAGGTTTTGAAGAGTGTAAAATTGAGGGAATAGTTATGAATAATAAATGTAGACCACAAGTAATAATAAATACTCTTTTGTTATATTCCAATTAGTAGGAAAATTGTATTTCTTACATTTTGTGACGTAATGTTAATCACTTCTTTAGAGTAAATAAATAACTGAATTACATCAACATTTGTATACTTTGAACTTATTGGGATATAACAAAAAGTGGACATCAACTCTCTGAGATGCAGGTACATCCAGCTGTTCTGGATTCCACTGCTAGCCACTATCCATCATTGCTTACAAATAGCTTGTGAATTAAGGTAATATCGAGGCATACGCACAGTATGCACATATGCCAATAACAGACTGATCAATTACAGTCTTAAATAACAGTGGGAAGATACAAGCCAAATAATACCAAGTGAATTAAAAAGTATATTCATTTATTAATAACTTTCTGCCCAATGCTCAATTTATTTAAAACTATCAAGTTCAACCTTGGTATTTAGACCACAGTTGTTTTAATGTTGTTATTCGTATAATAAAACAATATTACTATGGTGGGTCTAGAGTAGGAACAAACTATTTTTGGATACATATCAAAGCGGTTTGAATTTTCTAATGTCCAAGACTTTAATAAACCTTAGTATTATACACCCTTGAATCACTTTTGTACAAAATTACAAAAGCTTAGTTAAGATCAATCTTATAATCCTTTTTCAACTATAATGTTGTTCAATAATGAAAAAGAATGAATGTTTATCTACTACTCATATTGAATTATTTGATTTTATTTTGGCTTGTTTTTGGATTATTTCAGTACACATATTCAACCATCAATATATCACATTGTTATGATAAGCTTCATCTTCTAAAATTAATCAATTATGTTCAAATGTGATTATGTAATATTGTTTCACAGATTGAAATCATGAGTCAGTTGAAGCTAGACTTTTATACTAAGTAGTATGGAATAAGTTTTTGTCCGATAGTTTTATCATTATTATTATTATTATTGTTTTTAATTCAGCTGGACTTTTGTATGCATTGGCGGCGTTTAAGCTGTATCAATTCAAGAGTTGTAATGAGATCATTACTACATGTAAGTGGATTAGTTTATTATTATTATTACACTATTTTTTGTGGTTTTTTATTTCTGGTAAAATTAATGAATTTCTACTGTTGTTATTCTAAGGCCCAATAATGACCAATGATTTTCAAGTAATGTGCTCAGTAAAATTTATTGTTTTAATCTTTTAATAATGCTGATCAAACTCTAACGATTAAGTTATTATGTGACCACTAGTCTAAATTACTCGGCATCACGCTGTTGAAGGTAGTTGATAGGGTGAAACTCTAGACCTAGGTTTTATGTTGGTTGATACTCATTAATAGGGCGTGCCTGTAGTGTTGGGGGAACTGATGCTATTTATACGATTTGGACGCGTATCACTCAGTTTCGCGGTCTCAGACGTTATCATTGATCTATTCAGACCGCAACTGACTTCCTTTAGGATAGATATTTACAATCGGTTGATCATTGAGTAGTAACCAACTTCATGTTTGTCTAGCCCAAAATTTAACAAAATGAGACTTGCCCCAACTCCAACATTTGGCATTTGGTTTTTCTCACCTGTTATACTGTGAACCTTGCGTACATTTGTTTGTTGAAGAGAATTTCTACATATAATTTATTTCCAGATGGGAACCATCTTGTTGCACTAAATATATATTGGAATCAAATTCAGTCCTTGCCAGTATGGGAGTTTGTGTAGCTGAAGATACCACACATACCGCAAACCACAGACCAACGGGTCTGCAGATATCGGCAGTCGGGATATTTCATTGTTGACAAATAGCGATGCTAGCATGTATCAAGCAATCATCTTTTACCCCTTTCCTAACCTGCTATAAACACATATATCTGGTATGAAATATTGACGATTGTTCTCCGGAAACCTGCAATTAACAGACCATAGTTTCTGCAAAAGTGAATTCCGCTGGTTTTCTTAACAAAATATAAATATAATATTTACCATGTTTTAATACGCATAACTTTCGAAGTAATATTTACAATTTTGAATTATTGTCCCATTCGTTACACTTATGACGAAATAATCACTTATCGTGCTGAACCAAGCCTAAAGAATTATCCCATTATTCAAGATTGGCTAAGGATATACATATATGTATATGCGGAAGAGAAAACAGATTGCTTACTTGGGCTGTATTTGGTCTCGTGTGTCCGGTTCGTAGTGGCAGGAAAGCAGCTGTGTGGTCTGTCTTTATTTAGTCCGATTATCGATTAGTTCACCTATATTGCCAATACGACCGGTGACCATTCGCGTACCGATTGACACAAAGATTAGTGAACAATGACTAAGACCTTAACACCTAGTAGTCCTCGAGCCCCTTCTAACCCAGTGACCAATTAGAAGGCGGATACAAAAAGCATATCAGTCTTTTTGTGTACTCGACTCAATAATGACTCAAAATTTGTATGGTAATATACCTGAAATATTTGATTACACAACACAAAAACCTATAATATGTACATAACTTAGACATCATTGATACAAGACCACGGTAACATGTGAATAATTAATGAATGATGGATCTAGAACAATAAGAAATATGACAACAATTTCTAGGTCAAACGAAAGCTTTAAAATAAAAGTTATACTTTTTCACTAATCGTCCTATCATATATAAATAATCTGTACTTTTTTTTATATTTCAGTAATATCTTTTATTGATAGAAATTGTACACAATTTTATTCAGAATCTGAAAGTTTATCTGAACCTATATCGAAATTTATCAATTATGCATCAAATTCAAATTTCTCTCATCGTACATTATGTACACCATTTCGTTTCAATTTAAACGAACTTGAAGATAATAATTTACCAACAAAATATAATATTTATATAATAATTAATTCTTGGTTACGGATACTAAATATGGCGAATATTTGTAATTCAGAAATTTCTACAAAAAATACTAATGAAAATATTGAAGTGATTTTTTGTCGATTAGCAAATACGAAATATGTAAGTGTGAAAATTATACAAGTAACATTATTTTAAATATTGCTATTGTTGTTTTCACCACGTTCGATGTTCAGTGGTATAAGAGTAGGTTGGAAGAAAGCTAGGGGCGGCCAGACCAAAACATGGCACAAGTCCATGAAGTTACTGACAAGTGGACTGAGTCATGTTGGTAGGTGTAGACTACCTGGTTGGGGACCGCGAGATGATAGCAACCGATGGTTAGAGACCCTGAATGACATGGCTCAAAATCGTTTGCAATGGCGCAAGTGCATACACTCTTTGTGTTCTCCCAAATTTTAATTACCTGATTCCTCCTTGTCTCTTTTTTCTTCTCTTCCCAAATATATTTCACTGGATTATACTCTTTAAATAACATTTCCAAACCCTAATCTTCCCGATTACAGCTTATAATTTTACTACCTCTAACACTACGGTATTTGAATCGGCAACTGCATCTCTGTGCTAATGTGGTATGGTAACTCGAACTGATGTACGTACGTACGAAGTTCTATGTTGCTACTGACTGACTGACTGTTTTCACTTGAAACTAACAATTAGTTACAAATCAATTTTAATTTGGAGATTCATTCTTTCAAGTTATCAATTGTGTTTTAATTCATTCTAAAGATTGTAATATTTAGTTTAGGTATACAGTAAAATACAAAATGATTTCTGGCTCATGTATTGAAGTTATTATTGTAACTGGTACATTGTTTCAATAAAAAAAATCGTCAAATGCCAAGTTTACGCTGTTAGCTAAAGGATGGCTCTATTTTACAAGGGATGAGATATAAATCACTGAAAGGCTTAATTACCTAGTGTGGATATATATCTTTTAACTCGAGTAGCAGATTGGGTTCGGGTATAGGAAGTTTGTGTATCAGTATCAACTTTTGGACACCAAGTCTCACAACAGCAATTTCATTCCATTGTGTTGTTGTATTCCTACTAGCCTTATACCTTGATTCCAAGATTCTGAAATAACTGATAATGATAGGTTTTGTTGTTGTTCAACGAGTTCTGTTGCCATTAGAACATATTATTTCTCCGTTGTTAACTTATGGAAGGTAACTTGACAAAACATCTACTGGGATCTGAGACTATTCGATATATGTATCATTATTTTCTCAGTTTTTTTTATCATTCTAAGAATAATCCGCTCATTCTGAGGTTTGTAGATATAAGATTTGATCCTTGGTAAGTTTCATTAGCATTCACTTCTGAAGGGGCTTATGTTAAAGTGAAGCAGCTGTCTAATATTTGGTGGTTCCAGTCAGCTCGAGTCCTTGGTCCCTAATAAAGGGGGGTTGCACCATAGAATGATGCTGTACTACTCAGGTTGTAAAGAGTTTGAATGATGTCTTATTCTACTGGAAAACCACTATAATGATAAACTCATTTTGTATTGTCTATATGCATAAATATCTTTGGAGAAGTATCTATTGTTAAATCACTATGCTTTCAGGCCTGTAGGTCATCGGTCCAAATCCCGCTTAATCTGCTTTGTTTTGAACAGCCAAGAAGTATTAATAACTCTCCCATAAACTGCAATCCGAAGTTGAGTACATAAATCTATACTTGGTACATGAGTTGCATTAACCTTACATAGTGAGTTGAACCAATGCAAGTTCGTATTATATCGTACCTTGATTACGAATGATTAGTCGACTAATCAAACACAAACTACCTATTATTTCGACAGAAAGTCGTTTATTTTATCTAGTTGTAACTGTAGTAGTCATCATTAAACCAATTATATATATATATATAATCCCTGGGAAATCAAGCTCATCAGTGGTTTATGCCTTATCTCTTGGAAAAGAAAGCCATTTGGCAATTTTCGACCCACTGTAATAATACAATATCTGTTGTAACGTGTGGGACTGCAGGTTTTGATAAGCAGCGTATCTATCGATCGATCGATAACAGTGACACGGAAAACACGTATGAACGACCTAGTGCCCTGATTGGTCCCGCTTCGCAGTCTGTCCCAGCCAGTTGAGTCAAGAACGCAAGTCACAGCCTCTGGGTTATGAATCATTATATTTCAAACATACTTTGTTTATATACCAATCAAGCATACCACATCGTACCATAAAATAGGAAACAACATTTACAAAATATTTAACAAGTGAAATAAACATCGACCAATAAGAAATGTACATTTAAGGTCCAAGGACACCATAGACTTAACACGATAATTATTGGTATATTTTTCCGACTATCCTAACAATATCTATGCATTGTTTAATTATGATGCATTTGGATTTTAACAGCTAACTGTGATCTACATTTGATAAGAAAACATTTATTTTATTAAATTAAATCATACATAAAGATTTACTGATTGGAATAGTTCGAATACAATTCAAGTCAAACTAAATATTTATTTTAAAAGGCTTGAAGATTATTAACCTAACACTTTTGTATCAAATTAATAATACGATGAGCAAAAACTAAGATTATGAATAAGTAAAGATGGATAGTGGTTAGCAGTAAAATCCAGGATGCACTTTTCGTCCTATTTAGGACTCGTCAGCCGGATGCACCTGCATCCCAAAGTCGATGTTCACTTTAGAACTTGGACTCAGTATCGTTCGTTTCAAACGCCATCGCGTTAACCACTTATCTACTGCATCCAGATAGCTATTCACTTGAAGAGAACAATGCTGGGTGTCGCAGTGAACATTGACTCTGTGATGCGGGTACATCCAGCTGACAAGTCTCAAATATGACAAGGTGGTGCACATCCTGGATTATTCCACTCCTAGCCACCATCCATCTTTGCTTAGAATGCTTGTGACTTAAGGATGCACATATGCCAACAATATGAAAATGAATTAAATTATGAATATTTTTTATATAAGTTCTCAACATATTAATAATGAGTAATAGGTTGATTGAAAACGTATCATCCATTTCCCAAAACCTCAACAATCAATTGTTATTTTTCTCCTAGTTACTATTCAACCTTTTTAACTTCAGTTAACTGTCTAAACAATAATAATAATATAATATATTATAATAATATTATTATTTCTATCTACGATTTTTGATTAAAGTTACAATGTTATTGTGTAGCCATTTTTTAGTTTTAGATCAATTGCTTATACATCTTAGTTCTACCTAAGATAGAAATTAATGTATCAATTTCTGATGTATAAAGTTGATTATCAGAGTAATTTTTTTCTACTAATTCATAAAAGTGATTTATATCCATAACATTATTGTTCGAACTTTATCTACTGATCTAGTGGTTAAGGGCTTGCGCTCAAGACTGATATGTCCTGGGTTCGAATTCCGTGAGCGGGATCGTGGATGCGCACTGCTGAGGAGTCCCATACTAGGACGAAACGGCCGTCCAGTGCTTCCAGGTTTTCCATGGTGGCCTAGCTTCAATTGACTCACGATCTTAACCATTGAAATTACTTCAATCTCCACAAAACCCATCTGACGAATATTCATTTATATTTGTTAAAAGAATTTCTACTGTTTAGGTGTTCTGGTCTTTAAAATTTCTTTTGAAAAAATATCCCCTTCTTTTTAGATCCCGTCTACTTGGATAGATGTTTATCAAACTTTGTACTTGGAATACTACCTAATCGTTAATAATTTAAAAGTGGCATTCAATATTCTTGAAAAGTGGAAAATACATCATGGTTGCCAAATGAATGAGACAATCCCAAATAGTATTGATTTATCTCTACGTTTTCGAATATGTCTGATATGGTTAAAAGTATCTAAGCTTATTTCTACCAAGTTGTTGAATGATTCCGATAGTAAGTTATTAACGATACACACATTCGATAGTTCTAGAGAACTAGATAGGAAAAAACGTGATTTTTTGTTGTACAAATGTCGACATACTGTTTTAAGCATATGTTTTCGTTGGTAATTCGATCAATAATTAATCTCTTTAAGTATCCTATTTAAGGTGAATAACTATTTCTAATTACTTTATAACTTTATATGGTGCGACGGCTTAGTGATTAGGGCATTTGACTTTCAGCCACTACGTTACAGGTGCGAACCCTGCCCCACCTACTTCGGTTTGGTCTACCGGGTAATATCGTTAGTCCTCACACTTAGAGTGTAGCTCATACCCATGTACCTGGTGAATGAGTCAATTTAAATGAATTTTAAATTTCACTACCATTGTTTTGCCTTTATAATCATGAATGATAGGTGATACATCCTAGTTATATATTATTTTGGGTATTAATAATAATAACTAATAGTTCCCTCATTATGTATTCTCATAATTAATTGGCTATTAGGTGATTCGATGTTTGGTAATATTTATGAACGGAGTTATTATAACAGTGTCTTAATGTTGAGGGTGTTACATCCTATGGAAATTACCTAGTTATCGATTATTTTATAAATTCGAATTCCTATATTTCCGTGGGAAAGCCTCATGTGGGTGCCGAGCCTTCATTTTTACGACGTTTAAAGATGCTGTCTTTTTATTGGGCCGTGACTTTATTATTCTGTTATGTCAAAAAAACGATGACAGGTTGTTTTCTTGGGTTGAATTTTGTCCAATATAATCGGGCCGTAGTGACAACAAAGCACTTATATAATGTCTCTGTCTCTCTCTAGTTCGATTATTGATTAGTTCACTCATAGGACCTATGGGATCGCTAACTTTCCATTTACCAATTGATGCGTTGACTAATGGATAACAAGCAAGACGTTAACATTTATTGGTCCTCGAGCTCCTAATCCATTATTCAATCAGAAGACGGAGCTAAGATGTGGATCGGTTCTCCATTGTACTCAATTCAATTACGACTTAAAACACATTCTATAATATACATGAAATGTCTGACCACACAGGACACCAAATAGGAAATCATACTTCAACTCACAATCATACCATAAATAGTAGAAAGTGAAACGACAGTAAATAATTAATTAGCGATAGTTAAGGAATAGTAAAATGCATAACAATAGTGAATAGGTCAACTGAAAGCTTATAATACGGGCATTATAGAAATTAAACAGTACAGTTATCCAATACATTTATACATTTATTTATTTAAACACACAAACATTGGTACAAGGAAGCACCAAATATATGTGCGCCACATTTCGTCATTCGATTTGTGTGAGAGTTGGAACAGTGCCTGGGTGCTCAAACCGAAGCAGATGGTTTTGTTAGGGGGCCACTTCCCGAGCCTTTGACCTAAAGGTCCAATTGACAAGGCAGTAGGGCAACTTTTGGAGATGCAGTCCTATGGTAGCCGGTGACCAACAATAGGTTGGTGCGTCATTTGTTCTCTTATGATCCTGGTGCCCATGTGCACCATTGGTTTGGAATGAGGGTTTTCACACTTCTCTAAGTGTATCATTCATATCCATTAACCCGTTTAAAGCTCTGGATATTCACTTTTTGTCGTCTGAATTTCGTAATGAACACCTGCTGCCTCGAGAAGGCAGTGAGTAACACTTCTGTACGAGCGTGTGTATAAGCATGGCGATGTGAGAGCATTTAGAGAGAGATAGCTGACTCTCCACACCCTTGACCGTAACAGGGCATTTGGGGGCAATTGTAATAATTATGCAGTATAAATGTAGGTAGTCCCAACTCTATCAATATTCGTCCCGTTGTAATAGTATCTTAAATGCTCGCTTCAAATCCAAGGTCATTGTACATGTATCATGCACCTGTATTACTTGCTTAAACCAATCTTCTTTGATTTTTACTGAATAACTCTTTTGCAGTAACTAGGGCTCAAAGCGAAGTGATGAGTTATTGACGTTATTTTGAAGATACACATCAATTACTTTGTTAGTTAACACAATGCATTTCTGTCCTAAACTTTTCTTTTTAATTTCCAACTTTTTACGTTATAACATATTTCTTTCTTACTTAGTAAGTATATTCTTAGTAAAGTTGAACAGTGGCTAGCAGTGGAATCTAGAGTGAGTGTTTCGCCCCACTTGCGACTGGTCAGTGTTACGTATCTGTACATCCCTTTGTTGATGTTCACCGTGAGACTCGAAGCCAGTACCCATCGTTTCGTACACTCACCTCGTTATCCACCGAGGTACTGAGTCCAGATAGTCACTATCGTATAAAACGATTTTATGTATTTCTGTCACTAATGTTAACGGTTACAAATGATCAGTTTTGTTTGGGATACGGATTGTCTCAATAATACGACAACTAGTATCTCAAGTAGGTTAAAGCGCTTATCCTGGATTTCAATGTCAAATACTATTCAACTTGATTAAAAAGGAAAAATATTCGAGCGAATAATTGTTTTCAATAACTTCATCATTAGGCTCTACAGTTATAAGTCCATAATTATGATATTTTACAAAGGCCAAAATAAAGCATGTATTGATGAATTAGACAATGTTATACGTTAAAAGTGGTGAATATTTGCATCTGTTACGACATATATACTTCGAAAAAGCATGACTAAGTGGTCAATGTCAAGACAGTCCACAGAGGAAACGCATGCATTGGAAAGAATAATGATTGTTCAGATGTCGATTTCTAAACTGCTAACATCTAGCTGATCACTCAATATTTATCGTCGGGATAGATGAATAAATAAGGAAAGGAAACTTGTTGAAATACTTTATGCTGAGGATTCTATATTGTACCAAAAATATGGCATTGAATAAAGCCAATAATAATAATAATAAAAAGAGACGAATGAATTACAAACCTTACTCAGTTAATAGTTGGTTAATATGAACCTCTAAATAATAGAATACGGTAAGAATATGATTAGTTTTGACAATTTGATCTGGCTTTGGTAATACAGAGTGTGATAGTTTGCTTATAATTGATTGCTTTGGTGAGACTATAATTTATGGACGACCTTTGAGCGACTCTAGACTGACCTTGAGAGTGTCCGCTTAATAACCAGGACCAAATGAGGGTTATGAACTTGTATGAGGAATTAGAATTGTAATTTACAGTTGACGATTAAGCTTGAGAATTAGATTTCGGGTTTTCATCACGAACTGACATCGGCTGTAATGCCAAGATTAGTGAATTTCGCGCCAAAATCTGAGACCTGTTACCTTATACGTGATTGGTTGGTCCATGAATTTTAGTCTCTCCATTGATTTTGTTATAAATTATGATTATTTATTATCATTATCCTGTTTAAACATAACGTTTAATATTTTTTTCCCTTAAAAATAAAATACTTTTAACAAATTTTCTTTTTAGAAACAATGTCACAGCCTATTGTGAATGAATTTTTAGATTTACTTAAAACAAATAATCTTACCATTAATTCAGCTCGTTATCAGTATTTGATTGGTTATGTAATGAAAATGTTTTCACAATCTATTACAAATTATCCTGAAAACTATGGGTCGTGATCAACAATTAAATGCATTTTCTCTTGGTGTTCAATTTGATAAGTGTTATTATGCGAATTATTTACAAATAGGTCATATACACCGTGAAATGGAGAGTTTTAAGTAAGTCTTTTTTTGTGTACGAAGTATGTCAGTGATTTTTTCTATTTTCTTTTCTAAGAAAATTTGTATCACATTGTTATTTGTCGACAGTTAGGGGAAAAGGAAGAAGTGGTGGGTTGTGTTGGATATCTGAGAATTCTACGTGTTCTCGGTTTGTCCAACCAGTCAGCTGATTGAAATAGTTGGGAATCATTAGCATTATAATCACTCAGTTACAATAATTTCATACATTTATTCACCACTCTTAGGTAATGTTTTATATTTAATCTCTGCATCATCTTTGAAATATCTTAATGACACGTCAGTTAGGTGTTAAAATTAGCCAATAATCAAGTACAATCAACTTCTGAAGTATTACTTGCCTTCAAATGATACTTTTCGTAACCGAAAACAACATTTTGTTTAGTAGTCGAGTTAGCGTATCGTAATGATATCACTACCACTTATTTGGGGTTTTAATGTACCAGAAATGATCGGTTGAAAATTCATAAGACTAAAAGTATCAGAGCCATACCGAGGTCTATTGTCAATAAGACATTTTCCATAGATGACAACCATTTTGTCCGGCTATACTTTTATTTATTTGTTGGGCGTCACTGGGATGATATCTGTAGAATATATCCAAGCTACTGAAGCCAGTGTTTCGATGTGGTAACCCCAATTTAATCACTATCTCTACACACGAACTCACTTCGGGGTTACTAACATACTGTCTCCGCTGAATTTGAGTAATCTTTTCGAGACAATTATAAACTACTTTACACTTCGAAGTTTCAGGGTTCATACTGTACTCTTGAGCACTAATTCTCAAATGTTTAAACGTAATTTGACCAGCCGGTTCGTTTGTTACAAATTAAAACACCTCCATACTCGTGATCTTTAGACAACATATCCACATCACTACTGTGTACTTTCTTCAGAGCTGTTTCCAAAATATTATCAATGGTAAAGTTGAAGAGGAATGGTGAGATTGGACAACCCGACTTATGGAATAGGAAAACTGAGAGATGTAGTTGTATGCCCTCACTCTGCCTGAGATGTTTATATGCAAAGCCTTCAAGATAACAATAAGGTTCTCGTGCGCACCATTCTTGGACAGACATTCTCGTTGCACAGTCCTATTCAATGAATTGAAGACCACGGCCCTGGTATCAAGAAACACCATGATTCGTGACCTGAAACAAGTGTGGTGGTATTACAAGGTTTGGTGGTGTGAGGATGTGATATATAACCTTAATCAGAGTCAGTCCGTTCTTCGCGAGTTAGTCCTACATGGTTTTTATACAGTCTTCAGATTATGATCGAAACTTATAGTTTGAAAGCGATTGGTAGCAGACTTATTCCTTGATAATTATTGCATTAATTACTTAGGCTTTTTATAAGGGTCCCGATGGTATTACTTCTTCCTCATATTTATCTTTCGTTTCTTTTTATTCGTTCGTCTTCATTTTGTTTCCTCAGAGAGGCATTGACATTCTATGCTGAAGCCTATCGTTTGATGCCTGGTTCGCCAGTTTGCGCTTATTATTATTCAGTGGCATTGTGTAGGCAAGAAGAATGGGTAAGTCTCATAATTAAAGTCATTCTTTTACGGAATATTATTGCTATCATTGTACATGTACTTAGCACTCTATGCGTTTCTTGATGGTTCCATTGAGTGTAAGTAGCTCTACGAAGACACATATGATCAAAGAATTAGCTACTTAATTGTATTCTCTACTTTCATAAATGATTTTGACTAACGACTTTTGATCAGGTTTTAATGATGTGTAGTATTAGGACACATGCAAAATAAACGCTCAGTCGTGATCATTTTAAAATATACTATTGCTGATAGAATATACACTGCCATATTCGTGAGTTGCCTAGGCATAAAGTTGTCTTTGATAAGTGGTATATTAAAAAATGAATACTCTTAAAAAGTGGTTTAGCTAACTATGTCCTGAATGTTTTGGTAATTGGAGATGATGTCTTATGGTTTGATGTCACTCTGTACTTCCGTTCGTGTACGGTATTAACTGGGAGGGTGAATATGTGGGAGGTGACTATCGTTATTGTTTAGGCCTCTAGTGTTTTAATAATTTAGATGGAGGCATACCAAACTAAGTCCCGGCGAGGATGAAACGTGCATCTTGGATTCTACTGCTCTTCACCATCCATCTCTGTTTTTAAAACACTTTGTATAGATACTTCAAAGTTGTTGCTTCGATTGAATGCAAGCACAATTCATTTTCGTATGGAATTGAGGAAAGATAAGACAATTAACTCACATAGTTTTCGATTACAAATTGACCTTAATTAGTGAGTCATCGGAGCTGGAAACCCTGTGGGATCGTGAATACACACTATCAAAGAGTCACTTATTAGGATTAAACCGAGTTATCCAGTGCTTCCTAGTTCTCAATCAGGTAACTAATTAAGGCCCATTTGTGATGTTAAACTATGAAATTCAACAAGCTCCATATATTTCTCACATTTTTAATAATTAACTTAATTGGTTAGAATCAATTTGTGTTCTTTTTTCAAATTCACACCAGGAATTCACGGTGAAACTAAGACTAAGGGATGAGTTAATCAGAATTTAAAAAAAGTGGCTTTTGGGTTTTTGTGCGAAATTGAAGTATAATATATGGTGATCAGGAGAAATACTTTCACATATTACGTAAAACGTTTAAAACCGTCTAAAAAAGAAAATCTTTTGTCACCATAGAGTAAAAGTAATGGTATTAAATATATCAAATACATGGTTCTGTCTCTTAAGATTGTATATAGTAGATAAATCGACTTTATTCCTAATTCCTAATCATAAAATCTTTGATTGTGAGATAAACCTAAACGTAGTGACTCCTTGTACTTTGTGAATGAACTAATCAGATAGCGCCTCTTGGATTTGTATTTGAAATTCATTCAATCATTTAACTACAGAACACCTTTGAATTATATCTGATGTTAATTGGTGATGAAAATTCAAACTCTAACTGGGAACAATTTAGAGAAGACTCTTAAAAATCTGTTTAGATTCTTTCAAATATTCGAGAATATGGATAAACTATCACCATTAAGATGCGTTTATATGTCTTTGTTTTCATTTGAATTTACAGGCATAGTATTCCGTAGTAGACATTAACAAACTTACTGATTATGTAATGCCTGTTTTCACTGTCAATAGTACTGTTTTCTTCTTCATAAACTATCAATCTGTAATAGCCGTTCTCTGATTAACTGGCTAGAAACTATTTGGAACTTGTCGTATATATTTTAAACTCGTCCATATGCTACTATTTCTATTTTCATAATATGTAAATCCATCTGCCTATTCTGGTTTCTTGATTTTTCTTTTTGATGAGAACAGTCATGCATATTTTCTTCTTCCATACTGCCGTCAATGAGTTCTTTTCATTTTTCCTCTGTTCATATAGGAAAAAGCCTTAGATGTGTATTCATTTATCGATCATATGTAAGTAAAAATTATTGTAACTGGATAATGCAATCCAAATTTTTATTGTTACTTTAGTTACTCGTTGATATTATTGATGTAAACACTTTATAGTAGTATTATTGCTATTAGTAGTGTTGTGTATATTACACAATGTACCAGTAATGAATTGGCCAGCTCTCAGAACGACGGTTTCTTGTAAAATTGTCATGAAATTATTGCAGTACCCACGCACGAAGCAACAAAATAAATCGAGCAGCATAATGAACACAATTGCACCAAATGAAACTTGACATTCGGCGACAAAAGTTTCTGATGAATCTACTTATCGGGTTTTATCAGATATGAGTTATCCTATTGGCTCACATGTTTTTGATAGAATTCCTTACAAAAATGAGGAAAATATGTAGGATGAACCCAATTATGATCAAAAATCTAATGCAAGTTTGGTAGATACTGGTTTTCCCAGTGATCCATTATCTACTAATGAGATTTTCAATAAATTTGAGGAAAATGTTACAGAAGAATCAAACCCTGATTCCCACCATCTAGTCAGTTCTAGTGCATTCTCTATTAAATAAATGATTGTATTTTCGACTAGGGTCGTCGTCGTATTTTGGGGTTAATATACCATCACTTGTACCAGCCTTTGTGTTCTTATTTCGCGTCGTGTGAACTGCAGTGGTTCCTCGTTTTACATGTATAAGTGATAAGCGCTTCTGACATAACAATCATCAGCGGCCAGACATAACAAAGCAATCAAGATAACAACAGAAATGAAGAGCTCACTTATGACCATACTAGTGTTCAAATACAAGAGTTTCATGTCTCTTGGGAGGCACCATACGTTCTAAATTTTTTAGTAATCTTCCAAAGATCAAATTTTAGTTAGTTTACAATGTAACTTAACCATCATTCATTGCTATCAGTAGTGTCTATCTCACTCTTAATATGTTTAAACGCGCATTGTCTACAGCTTGTCATCATAAACTCGTAAATAATTCTCGAAGTCAGTCACCATTGAGTATACATAATTTGTTAATTTACTTCAAAATTAAATAGACATGGCCAAAGGGTTAATGCGAGACACTGACGGGCGCATGCTATTGTTTAAAACTAGGCTACATTTTCTGTGTGACATATATTTTTGACAATGGATGAGTTAGTACATCTATTTCAATTAGGGTTTGTGAATAAAGCTTCCTATTTCTTTCTTGTCTTTTCGCTCAAGTACCTGTTTAGGTTTACCTATAGGAATTATGTGTATCAGTAGAAAAATTGGTCAACTGCCTAACACAACATAAACGAACACCAAAGTATTCGTATACTGAAAGTTTTTGATCACAGATTTCTAAAAAATATTACTTACAAATGGTGAAATGATAGATTTAGCTATGTTGAAGTTAGGCATAGAGGATACTGAGGAATGATAGGTTGGAATAAAGCTGATGACGGTCGAAACATGACATGGAATGAATCCAAGAAGTCATAGACTGTCCATCTGAACCGACTATCTGGTTGGGGTTTGAGTGATAACTCTAATCTGAGTGGTTGAAAGCTCTACGTGACTTGGGTCAAAATCAGTCATAATAGCCCAGGTACATTCATACACTTTATTTTACCGTAGATCTTCAGTCTCCGTATCACTTCACATGTCTTACTTTTATCTTTTAGAACTATGTTCTCAAAATTCAGTCTTTCGCATTCACATTAGTACTACATTATTTCGATTTCTTTGGCATTTATTCTTTTGATTTCATCTCATTGTGCTAATGTTGCGGTGTAACAACTTAGACCTATCGTACATTTTTACATAGGCCATGCATTGATAATGACTGACTAATTGACGAATTATGAGATAGGTAATATTTCTTTATCTAATGTAAAACTGTTATAGTTGCATTTTTTGTAGACTTGCCTTATCTGCTTGACATAACCTTCATAAAAATTCTATTTCTTAGTGTGTTATCTGTGAATTTAATTTTTTTTTGGATAGCTTGAATTATTCCGTTGTTAAAATTTAGTCCAGTTGACAAGTGTCATATAGGATGAAACATACGTCCTGTATTCCATTGTTTTAACCATGTTTAATTTATTCTATATATCATCTATTATTGTTATTATTTCATTTATCTGTTTGTTTAGTGATTTCACAAAAGATATGTGGCTTAATTATGGTTTAATTAATTTACGTTTGGGTCGAATAAACGACTGTTTACCTGCATTACAACGTGTTGTTTTAGCTAAAAATGACGCGTAAGTGTTGTACATATTTCGTTAATAATATTAATAAAAATAATAGATGTAGTAGTAATACTAATAATAATAATAATAATAATAATAATAATAATAATAATAAACTCCATATATTTACATTTATCTTTCAACTTACTGATATCTATCAATTAGTCAAGGAAAATAGTAGATCAAATACCAATCAAATTGGTAGACTTAATAACAACCGTTAAATCTATTATTCGTCAATGTTTAGGTTGATTGGAGCTTGATATTTATGTGTATATGTGTTTGTACCATGTGGAAACAGATATGAAGTCTTGGTTTTGGATTTTAGGTAAAAGTGTTCTGTAGAAGTACCCTTTCAACTTCCCAGAAATAGTTTATAGTTTACATCACGAACTGACGTTAGTTAACCAACCATTAATATGTGGAATCAGTGGATAACTATATGGTCTTAGTATGGGAACTCATCAGTAGTGCACATCAACTATCCCACCGAAGATCAGACGCAAAATATGTTCCTTCAGGATGCTTTAGCTTCAGCCACTTATATTAAAATTACTTTAGTAATTGAGGATATTTTGTGATTCTAAATGTGACTGGAAATCGTGTTGCTTCTACCACCAGTTCATAGCAATGATGTCTTATTATTGTATGTTAACTGTTGTTAAAATTAGTATTTAAATTTGGTGAATTCTGTTTAAGTCCCGCATGTGGGGTCGTGGATGCACAGTGGTGAGGAGTCCCATACTGGGACGAAACGGCCGTTCAGTACTTCCAGGTTTTTAATGGTGGTTTAGCTTAGATCGACTCATGAATTCAATTATTAAAATTCTGTAAATCTCCATCCACTCTATGTACCATTTGTTCTAAGCTATGTGTAATTTGTTGTCCTAATAAAAATTCGTTTATTCCACTAAATTGCCTATATATATATATATTTTTGAGAGAGTATGAAATCCTTTTCTTTCTGTCTTATTACGTAGAAGGGATTTTTCGCTAGTATGTCTAACACTTCTCTAGTTCATAGTTTCGATATAGAACTTTTAACAGTTACTAGTGATTGTATTCATTCTACTTGTGATGATTTCGCCTGTGAAATTTCATGGAATTTATAAATGACAGTTAAATGTATCTCTATATAAAATTTTTTTAGACTATATTGGGAAATTCTCGGTGAAGCTTACTTATTTCGTAGAAGTTATGAAACAGCGGTAAAAGCTTTCAATCGTGCTTTAGACGTATGTTTTTTTCTTTGTTTAATCGTGCAAATGAGCTTTCTGTCTGATTTTTTTGCATTGAAAAGCAACATATTGTTTTTCTCACTTAGTAGCAACAAAAGGAATTAATTAAAAATGTATGGACAGTACTATAGAAAGACTAATCGAGTAAAACTTGATTTAAGCCTGTCACTATCCGTCATTGGACATAGGCCACCAACGAGGGATCCCCAACCAACTTTTTTGTCAACTGATGTTCATAGTCTTGATGCCTGTATCCAATTCTACGCGCCATGTGTTCTTTGATCTGCTTCCCTTCCTGCTTTAAAGATTTCCAAGTTGGAACTTGTAATGCAGTCTAATGATTCCAGTAAAGTTATATCCTGTCCACCTCCAATGTTTTTTCCTTATTTCCTCCCCAACTTGGAGCTGCCTTGTTCTCTGTCATAGTGGGTTATTGCTGGTGATATCTGGCTCTTTAATATATTCGTTGACAGCTGTTTATAAGTATCTGCAATTTTCGGTGATGACGTTTGTGATAGTTCTCTAAGTTTCAGCTACATATAATGGGACTGTTTTAATGTAGGTATCGAAAATGTCGACTTTGGTGTTGGTTGGCAGTAATTTTGAGTTCCAGATGTCTTTCACTTGTAAGAATGCTAATCTCGTTTTGTTAATTCGTTCCTTAACATCTAGATCACATCTTCGTTCTCTACTGAATAAAAGGAATGTTCAAAGGTTATAGGATTTGAATTCAGAGATTTGATGTTTGTTTCAGTTGATGTCCAAAATGAGAAATATATTACATTCTCTGAAAGCTTTTTTTAACTTGCATATCCACGTCTGTTTCTTCTCGTAGAATTTAAATCAATGGTGGTCCAGCTTAGCTTGACTCTTAAATTCAACTGTCGAAATATTACAATCTCCACAAATTTTCATAATGATATTAAATCAGATAGTTAATAAGCATTGCATGGTGCTTCGGTTTGGGCACCCGGGCAGTATCACAGCCCTCACACATCGAATGAGATTTGTGTGGCGCATATGTATTTTGTGCCTCATTGTACCGATTTTTATGTGTTAAAATAGATAAATAGATAAATAGATTGCATGGTGCCCAGATAACGGATCAAATAATCATTTCATATCGATATATAAGTCCATTTGTTTACTGTATATACACACATAATTCGATATTAAACTTATTCTTTGAATTACACACTTTTGCGTAAATTAGTCAATAGTTATATGAAAAAATGGAGAGAATTTGTTAACTTATCATGATTATAAAAACATACTACATACATTACTGGCTAAATCGAAATATATAGCGAATTTATTTAACCTGCTTTTGATTGATTCATTCATCGAAGCACACCGACAACATAATCGAATTTGCAGTTATTTAGTTTTAATACCGAATGCTCTGTGTTATTTCAGTTTAAACGACTAAGTACAACAGTTTTTATTGGATGTTAGTTACTAATGAAATTTCCTGTCTGCGTCTCTCCCTATTCGGGACTCGTTAGTTGAATGAAGCAGTAGCTGCGTGGTTAACGGATTCGATTTCTAGCCACTAACCTCGCCCCATCTAATTCGGTTTGGTCAACCGGATAGTATCAACAGACCTCAATGCATAGTGTGGATCTGATGCTAAGTACACAAATCTATACCCTAGTAAATGAGTTGATATAATTAAAATTCTCCGCAACCTACTGTTGATGTATTTATACTGAGATCCGAACTAAGTACCGATTTTTATTGAAATCACGAAATGATACAAGTTCGAAAACCATTTAAAACCCGGAATCACTAAACGTTTTCCTCATCCTAGTATGGAACTTCGCTTCAGTGCACATCCATTAACCCGCAACCGGTAATAGACCCCAGGGCCTTCCGTTTTGCACTCAAAAGTTTAAATTCCAGAGCATTGTTAGGGTTGTGGTTGTTCACTTCTGAGCAATCAATTTCATACTAGAACGAAACGGCTGTCGACTGCTTCCAGGTTTTAAATAGTCGTCTAACCTAGATAGGTTTGTGATTTCAATGAAATTTAATATTCTCTACAACTCCATACTGACGATAAGTATCGATTGTTTAAAATGGTAACAAATTTCCATTCATTTACCTGCTTAGTTATAACCACCAAACTGTTCAAACTGTATTGACGTTCATTATTGTCATTAAAAATACTTTGAATGAAAATATTTCCCGTCTTGCCATGATTTACTATTATTATACGGTAATACGATTAGTGACCGAGATTATATTACCACTAAACTAGATACTCGATCGTTAGGGTATATACAGATTGTATCACGTTAGACCAGGTACATGATTCACAATCAAAGTAGAGAATCAGAGTATAGATTAGATAATACCTTATTCAAAACTATTACGAGCAGTCTACACTCAGTACGTCTAGAGTAGGATGGAAATTAATTAAATAGTCAGTAAGATAAGTGTCCGTCTGTTCATGCTCAGTGACAAACCATTACCTTACTTCTACGAGACAAAGATTACTGACGCATAATTTTGCATAAAACTATTTTGTCAATATACGTAACTGGGTGCACAAAATGATCTTGTTCTCTGGATAAATTATATTACGTGGATTCAATTTCGTCTAATAAACCAACAGTTGAATAATAATAGTAATAATTTATAGAATCACTTCATTCTTTTTTGTTTGTCTCTGCTTTTTTCCTTTCCATGATCGACAATTTCAGCTAGAACCGAATCGACCATTTACACTAGTTCTGTAAGCGTAATTTTTTTTACCTTGACTTAAAGTTTTGTGTATCATGTTTCATTGTTCAATAATACTCTAATGTTGTAGGAATAGGTCAGTGGCAGTATCTGAATTTTTACTTTAAACACAAACTCAATTTCTTTGAATTTTCAACTTCGTTTAGAACATTGTAGATATGTAAATCCATAAAATCTACATGATATTGACTTGTTTTCACTAACCGCTTTATAGAAGAACTGCTAGTCGATTCCGACCCTAAGATTAAAAATGGCATTTGCTTGAAAATCCGGATACCCCATTCCCATACACAAAATTCCATATTTTTTAGTTTTAATTGCTTGTGTTGCTATTCGTGATACAACTGTATTTCCAGACAAATTTGATAATCTGTTTTTGAAATATTACGTTTTGGAAGTACTCTGTCAATGAATCAGAAATCTTAAGTGGATTCTATGGTACTTTGGATACATATTATCACAAACAGCTAGTCCAATAATGTTATAAAGCACGCATTTTCGAATACTAATATACCCTTATTGTTTTATCCCTACTATTCTACTGCTGAATATTTGAAATCGGTAATCACTCCAATGACCATGACTAGAATTAAGAACATGGTTGACTGATGCAAATGACCCTCCAAAACTATTGTGACTGCAATTATATCATGGTACTTCAACTGGAAATCTGTGAATCGGACGACACAAGTAAAAACATGAAGACGTTAGATTAGGATTTATTTGTGGAGATTAGTTTACTTTGAATTTGACCTTTGTCATAGATTTACCTCAGTTCGGATATTATACGAGAAATACTGGATAGCTGTTTCGTTTTAATGTGGAACTCATCAACTGTTCGTGTCCATAGTCCGTCCTGAGTTTGTACTTTCTATTCAATGCTCTCTAGTTTTCAATGATACTCTGATTGAGGTTGATCTTTTACGAGTGCCACGTTTAAATCGACTTGAAGGCTAATGAATTTTTAATGATCGACTTTATGAATTTTAATACGTGTTGTAAACGTTTAAGTCATTGGCGTGCAGTGTATACTGGAATTATGTTAATTAATCAAATGAAATTGTGATAATAATAATAATAATAATGATAATAATAATAATAGGAATAAATATAGATCATGTAGGATGGATAGTGTAATAGTAATATATTTAGTAGTCAAATCAATTGCTGACCGGTCAGTGGTCACGTAATAGAATGAAATTATATGGAGCGCTAGGTAAGTGTTCAGATTTATGAGAATAAAACGTAGAGGGAAATAGATGAGGTTAATCATCTTGTCGATTTATTACTATTATGTAGTTAGATCGGTCAAGGTATAAAATAGATCTGGATTGGTTCCTTTTGTGGATAAAACGTTCGGTTTTTTTCAACAACAAAACATCGTAGTTCAAGTACGTTTGACAAATGACGTCTAACTTGGTGGATTATCGTTAAAAATTACTGGTCATAATATGTTATTCGTGTTTGGTTCGTCTGAATCAGATTAGTTAAGATAAAACCGTCTTCGTGACACGCTTTTACTGAGCCACATATCTTTGTTTTAATAAGGTGAGAATCTTTAAACAAAAATTGTTAATTCATATCCAACCAAGGAACGGACAAGATTGTCACGAATTTCTTTTAAACACATAAACTAGGGTTATTGGTTAGACTTACCTGCTAACATTTGAATCTTCATTTTATTCAAGTCAACGTTAACATATATAAAGTGAGTTGCCTAACCTCGTTCACTGAGTAGTTATCAGTATCATATGTATCTAATCCTTTAAGTGCTGGGTAGTCTTGTGACAAACTTCTAGATTGTATCATGGCATATTTACTTTTTGGACAATACAAGTACATGAGTACCAGTTAGTACAAAATCTTGGTCTAGCAATTCCTACCGATTATTTCAATCGCCTAACATAAGATTTAACTGTCAACATTCCTAATTAATCTGAAGTTACTCTTTCTTAACAATAATAATTTGTTCTTCTTCTTCTTATTATTTGGTCATGTATTCAATTCTTATAACAAGTAAATTATCAATATTCTCCTATAAAAAATTTAGATGTGGAAGAGCTTATCGTCATATGAATGATATTTACTCCTCACTTTGTTGTTTTAATAATGCACTAAAGATGATTGAAAATAATTACATGATTGATCGATTATACAGAAAATTCTATGTCTTGATTATGAAAGGTTAGTATATCCGTTTACTCTCTTAGTGTTTAATGTGTAGAATCTGCCAAAAATATTTAGTTGTACAATTTCATTAAAATTAAATTTACTTATTTTTATTTACTTGGACATTTAAACATTAGTACAAGGGGGCACCAAATATATATGCACCACACAATAACACTGAGGTCAGTAGTAGTTATCATTGATTGGTATGAGGGTTGTGTGCAAATCGGAGTAGGTGATTTTCTTAAGGAGCTACTTCCTGAGCCTTTGACCCAGAGGTCCAATCTACAGGGCAGTGGAGCAACGTAAGGAGATAGGGTCCCATGGTAGCCGGTGACTAACAATAGATTAATATACCATTTGTTCCCTCAGGATCCTGGTGTTCATGTTCAATGATTTGGAATGAGGGTTTTCCCACTTCTCTAGATGGATCCTCCATACACACCAACCCGGCTAAAGCGTCAGACATTCGCTTTTCGTCCTTTGAATTTCGTTAGCAACATGCTCGATGAGGAGGCAGTGAGTAGAACTTCTGTGAGAGTGTCTATATACCCGTGGCGATGTGAGGGCATTTGGGGGGAGAGCTGACACTCTCCACGGCCGACAAATTAAATTATGTGCATAAGATTTTTAGGTATGGTAATTGCTGTCTGCGAGTCATGAAATGAAAGTGATTTTTGGGCAATACATTTATTTTTTCAAAGTTACTCTCGGATATTGAACTTCATGTGTTACTGACTATCAATGTCACATGTTTGTTGTCTTGCGATTCGATAAGTCTGCTAATTGAACACTCAGTCCAATTTCCTAGCCGCTTTCAATAACCTCAGACTAAATCTGCAAATTAAATTTAAGAGAAGAGGCGCAAAGTGCCAAAAATAGCTTTACTTAAAGGTCAGGGTATATGCAGGAAATCTTGCCCATTTGTGCTATTTAACATGACCTTAATCGTCTAGAAAGTTCCAGAAGCATGCTAAATATAGCACCAGTAAAGCAATTATCCAATTAAAACAGGACACATGTTCTATTATCCTTCTAAATGTATTGAGGAGGCTTGTGGTCATACCTGGTCGAATCAAGTATTTCTAAGCGTTTTCTGAACCGTTATTAATTTTTCTTTGGCATATTCTAAGAATTTTCAACACAAACAGTCATCGATCAAAAAAGATGTGCTTACATTTATTCTATTTGTAATATAGCAGTTGTATGTTATCTTTTTGGCATTAAATCCCAAACACCACGTATTTCTAAACTAAATGACATATTTAGTTTTCATGAGGTCGATGGACGTAATCTACAAAAAAGATGTCAATCTATCATGAACATACATTTTATACTTGTTTGAAACAAATCTACCAACTGTTATTTACATTATTGTATGTTGTGCTGAGAATTCTATATTGTACCAAAACTATAATATTGAATAAAGCCATTAATAATAATAATATTAATAATAATACCTATGTAATTTATTACAAAGAGAAGTCTTTTCCTTTTCATACATCACAGACGCGTTACTCGTCGTAGATACCCCGTGAATTATCGTTTGAAAACAAGTTGACATTTATTTTCATTCTTCAGTTAAATCATTGTTTTATCACATATCTCAATTATGTGGTTGAATACATTTAATAGATTTCAACAAAGTATTAATGTTTCGTATTTTTCAATGCTAACTTTTCTACTGTGTTTTTTTCTTCTCTTTTTTTGAAATTAAAATACAGAATTAGTTGAAATTCATATGTTCAAATGTCAGTCTGGCATGTATCAAGGATTTACTGGTCAAGCGTTGAACGATTTACAGCATACTTTAACCTTGTTAAATAAGTATGTTTTTTTTTAAAAAAGAAAAATTAATTATGATCAGGAATGATATGGTTGTTGTTATGTCCTTAGCTTATACATTATCACCAAATAAGATTGCCAATTTAGATGCTCTGAATTATACGATCAAACTAATGACGTATATACCAGTACGGGCAACTAGAGTTCCAATTAATCCTTTTTCTGCCTAGCCCCTGCCTGTTAAGTCCAGAATGCTAATTTCAACCTCCACGATTTGAATCATATATTTCAAGCATACTAGGTTTATATACAAGCAAGTCAGATCACATCAAACCATAAAATAGAAAATAACATTTGTACGAGATCAAACCAAAAGAAAGTGGCTGTGATTATGACAAACTGTGACCAATAAATTGATAATATCTCAAGAATAGTAAATCGTATGATGATAGTCAATCAATCAAATTAAAGCTTATAATGAAAGAAATATAATATAGTTACTTAATGGTTATACGATAAGAGTATACGTATAATATTAGTCCATATGTAATTCCTAACGGTTACCATTCATTTATTCTCGTCCGTTTATAAGAGTTGTATTCTCTTCTTAAGCGAGAAAATATTGATAAAAGCAGTGGATAATTATTCAAATTATTATTCAAATAGTCATTCCACTCATTCGCTACTATGACACTAAGAAACAACTAGTAATTTAGAGGTACGCACAACACATGTTCCGAAACACCGTAGGCGCGCGAGACCAAAGGTCCTGGGTTCGAGTCTCGCGTGCGGGATCGTAGATGCGCACTGCTGAGTCCCATACTAGGATGAAACGGTCATCCAGTGCTTATAGGTTTTTAATAGTGGTCTAACATCGATCCATTAATGATATTAATCTAAATATGCATTGTTTTCTGACATTTAAAGATGTCCATGCACAATAATATAACAGAAAAAAAAACTGTATGATAATTTGTTTCTACTGGTTACCTTTTCAGGTTATTGAATTATTTTGTCGGTTCTAAAGTTGTACCATTCTGGTTTTTCCGATATACAGGTGATATTCTTAGCCTATTGTCTATGATTGATGATCCTGAACTATTGTAAGCTGTCAATTTCTTTTTTGTTTTTTTTCCTCGTTTGTTATTGTAAATGTGTTCTTTTTTCGTTGTTATCGTTCAAATTAGTGATCCGCGTAATACTGAATATGTGCTATACGGATTCTTGAAGTTTAATAAATAGATATTTAGGGAATGGTTGATCACTTGTTATTGATATATTCATAAATTTATCATTCTATTTTAGTCTCCTTATTTCAAAATCTTGTACTGTGATGAATAATATATATTTCTTAATTGATTTTACCTTAGTATAATCAGTCGTAAACAACATGAAATCTTAAACATATATCCGTTCATCTGCATTGTTGTACCACATCAGCAAGACTAGATGGAACTATTAAGATTAGTATTAGTTGTTTTAGTGATAGTGAAATTAATGTTATCCAAAGAGAATACTATTCCAGATGAAAGAATTAATTTACGAATTAAAATGTATTAAATAATTTTTTAACTCAAGATCTAAGGTCAGGTTAAAGAGTGGATGAATCTGGGTCATTGTGCTTGATTGTAAAATATGTTAGCTCAAACATTTGCATTTACTAACATTCCTCAGACCAACGGACATTGACCTGATAGGCTGATGTCATATTTCGGATTGACTTTCTCAGCCTTCTTCAAACCTACTTTTACAGCTGATAACATCACACGTCTAGATAGGTAAGCGATTAATGGACATACACAGTACATATCCAAATCACTTCAGTCGATAAAAACTCATAGTTTCATCAACAACCGATTTCTTATCTTCTCCTAGTACCCTGTATCTCATTCAATAGTCCGAAGCTAGAAGAGCAGTTAATCGAAAAAACCTATAACCAAAAAACGGCGACATAAAAATGTCTTCTATTTTCATAAACTACGTTCCACAGTCATAAAGCAAAACCGAACAAAGCTATTACACAATATACTCACCCCTTTAATATCAGACGGATATCTTGCTTACGCTACAAGTACTGCCAGTTGGCATAAGCCAAGCCAAACTTCTAAATATATTAGCTGAAATTTCATCAAACACCAACCTATCAGGGTTGATGTGATTTCCAATTGGAATGAATTTATCAGTTCACTGAGTTACTTCACTCTTCATAATCAGTCTAAGCGGTTAAACTAATCACTCTAGTTTTTATATGCATCGTCAGTATTTCAGAATCTTAATCAGCAATAATATTTCAGAAATGTTCTGGTTTCATGAATAGTATCTCACATTCAATTTCCAATATTTCCTTAAAATGATGGTATTGTGTTTATGATATTTATCGGTTTAAATTAAATTAGTTTGATATCACTAAAAGTTGTCTTGACGAATTGTGTATAGAAAATTTATTTTGACCTCGAATATCAAAAAGGAGCAAATTAAAATCTTTACAAGTAGTAGAATGAAAAATATATATATGCCCTGGTACGGTCGAGAGTGGGGAGAGTCCGCTCTCCCTCTCGAAATGCTCTCACATGGCCACGCGTATATAGCCTCTGCCAGAGAAGTCCTACTCACTACCTTCTCGTGGCGGGGGTGTTGTTTACGAAAATGGGAGGACGAAAAGCGAATGTCCAGCGCTCTAACCGGATTCCAAACCAATGGTGGACATGGGATCCAGTATCCTGCGGGAACAAATGGCGTATGAACCAATTGTTGGTCACCGGCTTCCATGGGACTGCATCTCCTTACGATGCTCCACGGCATTGTGGATCAGACCTTCGGGTCGAAGGCTCGGGGAGTCGCCCCTTAAGAAAACCACCTACTTCGGTCTGGGTACCCGAGCAGTATCCCAGCCCTCACACATATCGAATGAGATTTGTGGCGCATATGTATTTGGTGCCTCCTGGTACCAATATCTATGTGTTAAAATAATAAAAAACACGTTGGTGACTATCGTGACTAAACAGTATAATAAATGATAATACGTTGATATTTTGTTCAAACAATACTTATATTATCCGTGTGAGAATATTATCAACACTACGATACAGATACATCCAACTGACCAGTTTCTTCCAAATAGGAGGAAACGCACATTGTGCATTCAAGTTGTAGTACAAAACCAGGGAAAAACTTGTTATTTATGTAAGCTGATTGTTGTAGATCGACAGTATTGGGTTTGTATACGATGATAAAAATATATTTCTTATGCTCAGAAGTTCAGTTTCATTGATTGTGATGATATTTTGTTAAGATTGCTTTCTCTGAGATGTTTAGTCCGATTCGTCTTTCTAAATGACAATATCGCCAAGACAAACTTCAGATAGAGGTGATATGAAAGGATTTTTCGACATATGACGAGCAGTTTATTCCGTCAACCTTGAATGCGGTTAATTATTGTTGATACTTGTCATTTCATTGTGTACACATTTATTTTTAATGTTATCTTCTTCGATTTGATTATTGTAGTTAGTTGATAGATTATGTTTGTTTAGTCATCGGCTAATCTTAGCACTGTGCTACCAGAAATTCTTTGGTCTTTTTGTGAAGATTCTGTCCATGATTTTAACATTTTTCCAATTGAACGTACGTCCATGGTTGTCTGCTGCTATATGAACATAAATGAAAATATCACTATATTGCTCTTTTAAACAAACTATGTTTAGTTTCTAAATTAACTTGTAGTGGTTTGAATTATCTCGTTGCTGATATTCTTGACTAAATTTCGATCAGTCTTAGTTTGCATATATACATTCTGTGTGAATCTCGATCACCTCTATGTAGCCATTATGTCACAAATTTTTTAGAGAATAGATAGAATATAGCTAGCATTGTAACCTACAGGATATGAGTTTCATTCTATTTAGTCCTCGTCAGCTGAATGTACTTGCCATATCCCATTGTTGATGTTCACACAGGGACTTAAGCCGAATACATTTCAATTCAAACACCTAACATTCGTTAATCCACTTAGCTCTTTATTTCATGTCATTACTGTTTCTCACTTTATTTATAATTGTTCTTTCACTCATATTCTTTATTTACTGTTATTATTTTAATATATAGAATCGATGTTCCGACACGTTTAGTTTCTTTAATGAATGGTGCTCAGTGTCTAACTGAATCGAAAGAGCCTACGGAAACGATTAAAGTCAATATCGTCACATGCCTTCACCTTGGTGGGATGTATGTTTCAATGTTTTCTTTCTAATTACTATTACTACTATTATTAATATGAGTAGTAAGGAGTAAATAATTTTCATTTATTTCTTGGCATGTATATAGTTGAGTTGGGAACTTATTAACTATTAGAATTGCTAAGTCAAATTACTATTCACTAGTTTAGATGTCGGGTAGTAAATATATTTTTTCTAATTACTGAATAACCACATAACCTTAAAGATTAGAATAGATATCTACATGGGCTTCAACTATCTATATAAATCGTAGGTGGTGGTGTTTCAAGCGCTTGACCTTTAAATATTAGGTTATCGGTACAGTTCATTCTTCATTTACTTCCGTTCAGATTACCATAGGTGATTATTAATAACTCTCTATTTCCCACACACACAAAGTGTTTGACTTAGAATCGAATACATAAGCATGGATTTGATTGCTGAGTTTACACAACTCATAATGCCTAATATACATCTTTTGTGACTATGACTTTCCTAAAACTCTTAATAGTGTATGGCGAAATGCATGTTTCAATGTGAGTTTTTCTGACTTTCTCAACTAAATTACACCTAGTGTTATGGTATTCTTTCGTCAAACCAAGAGCTCAAATACACTGTCTTAATATTAGTGTCTCCACTTAAATTGATAACCAAGATTGAGGAGTTTTCTTTTAGATAATTCACTTCTCTCCTAATCTTAATCAACTTGATCACTCTCAGGCTAAAATGCTCAACTAGAAAAATTAATTTTATCACCAAATTAGCATTTGTAATATTTTTCTCTACTACTAATTATTTCTATAAGGCAAATCACTGGCTGGTTTTAGAAAATTACTGAAAGCCAGGAAGTACTGTACAGTTTTTCCCCCTAGTGCGGGACTCTTCAGTAGCGCACATCCACATCTCCACTAGTGATTGAACTCAGTCCCCACAACCTACGTTTAACCTTTAAACCACTGAGTTAAGATCCAATAGTTTATGTGTCTTACTAATTTGTATAAGTTAATCCCGGAATTCTAGTGAAAAACCATAATCACTGGAGTTCATCCATATCGAATGTTAGACCCACTAGTGACATTGGATATTGGTTACACCATGTTGAGAATTAATTAAAGTTAGAAATGTTTGACCATTATATACCAACTTAATAGTCTTAGGGTCTACTGTTCGCTGTGAGCGCTTACATTGTTGAGTTTGACTTTTGATAGGGTTATGGGCGAGTACCATTAAGGAGCCGCGTAATAGAACAGGAAAAATACCAAGTATTTTCCGGTTTTTAATGATTGTCTAACTAAAATCTGTCAGTGATATAAATCTTGAATTTTAAGTCTCCTCAAACCCTTAAAATATTCTTTTATTATCTTGTATGATTATTATTTCAGTTATTTAGCTTGTGCTCTTCGTACATCTATCAGTTCAGTTCGATATCCATCACATTCATTAGATCCAAATGTACTCTCTAGCAATAAGAATACTGAATCGAGTACCAATACTACTACCACTACTACGGCAACTACTACAACGGATCCATTGAAGTTATTATTAATAAGTTCTATATTAGTTAGTTTAGGTATTAATCAACTTAATCAAGGTTATTATATACAACGTAATAATATTTCACAGGAATCATTAATGACAACAAATCAATTGGATCATATTAATAAACCATTCAATTTCATTATAATACCAAATGAATTATTTTATTTATCTGAATCAACTTTAAAAAATGCATTACAATTATTAGAGAATTTATCGAATATCTATGATGAATTATTAGAAGAAATAATAAAAGAGAAAAGTTTACTTGAACCAGGTACAATAACAACTGATGATGAAATTGACGAACAAGATATACGTGATCGTATTGCTTTAATTAAAAAACTTCAATCACGTGCATGGGCTGCATTAGCTGGTGTTTATTCAACAAGTGATGGTAAATTTTCTTTGAATAAAAATTGTACTATTTTCTTTCTGAAGCTATTTGAATTACCCCAAGTTAACTCTATATACTACTATTCAAGAAGGAAAGTCGTTTCTGTTTAGGTTGATATTTTTTTATTGGATCATATTGTTACTTCAATAATCCTGTTACGATGAGATTGGAGATGTTACTCTGTTACATGTATAATTTATTTCTGCCAGTCAAATCAATATAACCATACTATTATTTCAAACTGAATAGGTGGAATCTGGCTACCAGTAAGATCTACAGGATGCGCGTTTTGTCCCATTCATGACTCGTTAGATGGATGTACCTGCGTCTTAGAGTTGATGTTCACTCTGGGACTCAAACCCAGTACTGTTCACTTCAAACACTATCGCATAATCCACTTAGCTACTGAATCCAGATAGCTATTCATTTGAATAACAGTTACCTGATTGGTCGTTATCGATTTTAGGTTGTTAGATAATTTATGTGCCCTGAGATCATTGGATATTTTTTTCACTTCTGTATGGAATATAAAGCTACTCTGAAAATCCTGTCTTCTTTATCGCTATATTGAAGTTCAAGTATTGTTATGTGATAGACATTGAGTTTGTTTGACTTCTTATTTATTGTGTTATATTAGAACTTACCGTATGCTTACGGGAAAACCCAATACGTTAGTCGTTCTTGTGAAGGTTTATTATTATTGAGTATGATTACAATTGTATATTAATACTATTATTTTCTTCTTTATTGTTTTACAATTCTAGAAAACTTGGATTCAGAAATCACCTATTGTCTTTGTCAAGCATTACTTTATAATCCTGATGTATGTTTCAATCCATAGTATGCTTTTAATATGCTCTTTATATAGTTACCATGAGTATTATAGGGAAATCAAGATGGGGAAGTTGTGTAGAAATTATGTGATTTAAAGTAAAGTTCCCATCATGAATTATTATTACCAGTCCTTACAGGTAAAGTGTAGCTCAAACGTTGAGGATACAATTTCGTGCTAGTCAGTATATTAGCGCACAATTATTGTCATGTTTTCAACATCCCAGTATTTATAATATTCCCACTTCAGGTTAAATTTCATATATTCCTTTCTTTCTTTTTAAGATCTTCATTCAATCGACTTCTGAGTTTTCATTTGTAGAAAAAAGGTTTTGTTAATGAAGTATCAATCGTTCTATCTTTTGACGATGTTCAAAGTCGTCAAACCTGAGGTTCAAGACTAATTGAGAAAACGTATTGTTATCGGCGTTTAGTCGGTATTAGGTATACAAATTAATAATTCCAGAAATAATTCTTCGTCCTGTTATAATAATACTACTACTAATACTATATTTTCTTCAATTCATGAACTGATCTTAACTGGAACATCATTGAGAACCGGAAAGTACTTGAAGACCGTTTCGTGTTAGTATGGGACTCCTCCTCATTAGTGCACATTCATGACCCTGGTATTAGGTGGCCATCTCTCATTACCTGTGGCGAATAACTATCTTGCACTCTTGCAATATCGTGAATTGATTGAAGTTTAACATCAATATCGTCAAATGTCATCTTAGTGGTCTATAGGTTAAGCGTTCACTTGCGACCCTGAAGCTCCTGGATTCAATTCCATATGTCGGGGTCATGTATTTGCACTACTGAGGAGTTCCATACTAGGGCGAGATGGTCGCCTAGTGCTACCATTTTCTCAATCATGGTCTAGCTGAGATCAATTCGTGATTAAAAATGTGAAAATTTTATGATCTCAACAAAACCCTATATTTCTTGTGTAGATACTAAACTGTAAATAATCTGCTCATTGGTCAATTTATTTGAAATTATCAAGTTTAATCTTGATTGTTATACTTAAAATGCAATGTTATTCTATGCTCGTAACAACCTCTGTCTTACTAATTCTGAACTCTTTACGTCATATTCATCCAATCATTTTCTCCTATTGAGTTCATTTTGACTTATACGATTGATAAGAATAAGGTCTGAATAAAAAAATTAAACAGCTCTAGCACACAGACAATTTATATATCTATTTGAATTCGTACAACAATATTGAGAATAGATTACAAATCAACAAATTCTTCGTCCAGTAATATTATGATTTATATATGTATTTATACTTTTTTCTCCTCATAGAATACCACCGTCATGGTTAATTTGGCAATGCAGCAAATGAAACAGGGTCAAACTGAAGTAATTTTCTTTTTCTGTAAATTCGAATCTATTTTACACTCACATTCACTTTTCCCAAATATGGAGTTGTGATTTTTGAAATTTCTTCTGTCTGTTTTCTTCCGGTTTTTGTTGAATGTCAAATATGTTTTGTCTAATATGTAAACATTTATTCAGAGGTTCAACTTTTAGCCACTAACTCGTTTCTTTTTAAATCCTCTGCTTCTGCTATTTTGGTCTGGAAAACCGGATTAGTATTATCAACCCCCTCACACCTAAAGTGCAACTCGAAGTCAAGTACTCGAATCTGTACCACTCCTGGTGAATAAGTTATTGATTCGGCTAATATCATATCGTATATTTATTGAGTACAGCTTTGTGGTACTCAGTTTCGACGTGTACTTTTTATTTGTATATGATGAATAATAATACTTTTTAGCTATTCAAACTGAATTAAGTGGGGAAGGGTTCGATCCTGCGGCTAATAACTGGTCGAAAACTGAATGCGTCGACTCTCTGATAGGTTAAGCGAGTCTCTAGGTATACCGCGTCTCTGTGATTATATTACCACCTGAAGATCAAGCACTAGGTATGATGCTATCAGATGAAGCCGATCATGCCCCTACTCAATGTTTCACCGTACATCTCAATCGGGCTATTGTGGCACATAACACCATTAGCATTCATAAAGTTGAATAAGTGAATGTGTTACTGTTAATTTGCATTTAGTAACCAAACTATCGTATATTTATCGCGAGATGTTACAAAGTATTTACATAATACATACACATAGCCTTCAATCGTCCATTTGCATTTCCATGTGTTCTGCTATCTGAACTGTCTTCTCGTTTGGTCTATGAGTGTTCTGTCAACTCCGTACTTTCGATGCATCAAAACTTTACTCCGTCCGATAATTTTTTTCAATTACGACACCACGTTCCCCTAAATTACTTACAAATATCCTTATGAGTTGCATCCACTACAATTACAAAGTGATCTTGTTCGTGTTAGTTCACTGGGCCAATCACAACATGCTTTCATTGGTTACACGAATTAGGAATCAATTAATTAAAGAATGTAAAACGGTTTGTAAACTAATTTGCCTTATTTTGATAAGTAATAGTATTATCATTATTAAACTCTTCCTAGTAATAATATGTACACATTTAATCTTATTTTCCATGAGTAGTTGGCTATTCATAATCTATATAGAGCTAGCACAAAAATACCCATCAATTCAAGTTACTTCACTAATCAGCATGGAGAAATGAAGTTTTAGAGACAAATGCTAGAATAGTAGAAAATAGCAACCATATGGAATATACTAGAAAAAAGGGCCTAAAATAGTTTCTCAATTTACGGCCTAAGGGAAAACAAAGTAAATGTTCATTTGCGTCATTGTAAGCAGTTTTGAGACATATCAACCAAGATTACTATAGTTTACAATAATCACCAACATGTATCGGTGTAATAGTGAATGACTTAGTTTGGCCATTATCGCGCATCTTACTTCCGTTCTCTTCCTTCGCAATCGATATCATTCGTTCAGGAGGAAGGTGATTGTTAGGCATACATGGTACGTGTTGTAACCATGATGAAGATTATCGGTTTTATCGGCCGTTTTGCCATCTTTACATTGTACTCTTCATCTAAGTTCAATATTGCTCACTCGATGGTCTCCAGTTTATATGAAACCATCTATGATCAAATAATAGTAGCCTGTTTCGTAGAGTAATATATGTGGGTACGTGTGTATGCATTCATACATTGTACAACTTGTCAAAATTATTATTTTCATTCAGTTCATTTAGTTTTTTTCTTTATTTTAAGCTTGCAGTTAATTTGGTAGAACAAGCTAAAGCGATTGATCCAGATAATTTTAGAGTTTGGCTTGTTTCAGCTCAATTGACTGCTGTCATGTCTGGTACTCCGTCGATTGGTCCTGGTTTATTAGTCAATACGGAAGTATTGAGTCATTTGATACATGCTGCGTATACAGGTTCAAATGTGTGTTTAATTTGGTGTTTTATTTTTGCAAACATTCCATATATTTCAAAATTGTAACTTATAGTTGAATTTATTACATATGTTTCGTCATTTCTGAAGACTCTTCAGTCGATGTGTTCACTTGGAAACTGGAACCCAATATTTATCTCTTCAAATGCCATTGTGTGTTACCCATTTAGCTATTGAGTTGATTAAGTCAGTCACTGCTTTGTCCAACGAAGTATGAAGTTATTCGTTATTTTCTTTTAAATATATTTAAGGCATCTGGTCAAGATGCATGTATACCAGAAGAGACTGACCAATTAATTTATGGCCTAAATATTCGCAACGAGAAATTACGAAAATTTACATATGTTTTGTCTGTCTTTTTTCCTTTTGCCTTGATTATATCAGATTAGGACTTGTTTTGTAGCTCATTTTAATTGTTTCCGTAAAATGTATCCTATCCACCTCCAATGTCATTTCCTGATTTTCTCCTCTATTATTAGCTGATTTGTTCTCTGTCACTTTCAATTACTTTACTGATAGTCTCTGGTCAATGAATCTGGAATAATATCAAGACCTTCATACATTGCTGAAATTATTTTCATAGTTGTCTTAAATAATGCTAGATTCGTTGGATATGTCTTTTATTCTTTTTGTGTTGAACAACTGCTTTATATATATACAAGCTGACACCACCTAGAGAAACAACCAGTGTTGGCTAGATGTGATGTCTCTCTCAAGTTTAGGGATTTCCTTTCCTACAATCTATTCACATACATGACCTCATACAGAGTCGAACCGTTAGATCCGAAAGTCGTGCGGTGATAATAAGCACAATACCTTCATACCACTGAGTAGGAATCTCCTCACCCCTGTTATCTCCACATTTCCAACTACAATCGTTTCGGCATATTAATGCAACTACAATCACTCATTGCCATCAATATTCACTATCTATATCATTTTCTTTAACAAGAGTAATCTTTTTGTCGATCGTAACTACTCTCTAAAACTACACAAAATTCTCAAAGCTATTAGTTGCTAGTGTATATTTATCACTCCAGTTGATTTTATCTTATAGTAACACAAAAATTATCAAAATAATTTTAAGGATTTTCTTTGGCTGGGTCATGCGTAGGCGATATTAAGTAGTAGTATTAAACTACGATAAAAACAGTTTTCCGAATCTCCACTTCATTCTCAATTTGTTTGTTTACTTCATGTCAAAAACAATCTCGATATAGTTTTTTTCAATAATACTAATTATCAAACTCCATTTTTAATACTATAGAGGTTTTTCTTGTTTTTACTCATCATTTACTTTCACTTCCTCTTATTTTAGTACCAAGTAGCGTCACAGCTTACACTGCATCTGATGCCTATAATTATTGAATATGCTGGATGTAATTTCCTTTGTGATCCATCAGCGTCATCTTGTCCATCAAAAAGTATGTCAGAATTAATTCAAGTTTTCGATAAACGAGCACATCTACGCCTATCTATCAATGTGGCTATAGAATGCTTAAATCGGGCTATCGGTTAGTTACTTGTATCATACTACTTATTCTATAATGATATCGACATATAATCAGATAATAATAATCATTACATTTGATACTGTTTTGTTGGGCGGTTTTTCCGAATCTAATACCGATATATACAGTTCTTACACGTCAGTCTAATTAGTTATTTGAGTGAGTAGGGAAGATTTTATTGAATAGACGAGATGAATGTTTGTATAAACTCATTCCTTAGTATAGATTGTATCCCTTAGAAAAGTAAGTCGGATTTTTAACCAGTGCCGTGCACTTGTCATTATCTCTAACTTATAGTTCGACTCTGAACTAATATATCTGATCAATTCACCGTAACAAATACTATATCTTTGCAGAGAATAGAAGTTTTACTTTAATCTACAATTACAAAGTCAAAAATAAGGAGTATTAAAAGATATTATTATAACACACTGATTACAGGACACTTATTTTTGTTGCTAGGTTTAAGGCCAGTTTTACCATTTTGTTTTTATATACCCTTTTTTTAATCTCATCATACATATGTATAGTATTTTTGCGAATTTGAGTTTTACTTTACATACATTAATTCTGATGTATTTTGGTATTGTTTTGAAATAGGGCATAGTCAAAACTAGTGTTGTGAGTACAAAGCGTATGGCTTGTATTTACTATAATATGTAACATAAAATAAAGCCACCCCCCCCCAACATCATACCTAACATATAGTATGGTTTAGGGAAAGAAAGAATTAGAATGTATATTCACTGAAATTAATATATATGAATAAAATTGTTCTGTCACTGAGTAGTAGTGATCAACGTCATATCTTTCTTAGTGCTAGTCGGATTCTATCGATGAAGTTGTAATGCGTTCACTAGTCCAAGTGACTTGACATAGTATTCACTATTTTTTAGTGTTAAGGCTATTGGAGGTGGTAGTCAGCAGGAAACCTTGGACCTGAGCTTCATGTTAGTTGGTATTTGTCAAAGAATAGTACTTATTATTCTGATGGATACTGATGCTCCCTATGGGATTTGAACCCGTGTTACCCAGTTTCACAGTCTGAGACACTGCCACTTATCTAATTAGCTTTAAATTGAATTAATCTGCATCAACTGTCCTACAAATTATATCTGTAGGATGTGAGCAAAAATGAATGTATATATTAGTCGATAACTGACTAATAAATATTATAAGCTCTTGAGTAATAAAGCCTGACATCTGATTATCACATATTGCGTAAGGCGTTAAGAATACATCACTTTTCAAGTTTACCACTGATTTCATTTCGTTTTGTGATTTACGATTATAGTGGAATTAATAAATTCATTATTTGTATCTGTAATTATCACACTATGTATTATTTGCTTTTAGTGTAGAGTAAGATTTGTAAGATTAAAACAATTTTCGAATTTCATACAGCTTGTGAAAATTGCTGAATTTTGTAGTTTCATATCACGTACTGACTTTGGTTAAACAGTTGTTGAAAACAAGGAGGCACTGAATAAATGTATCGTTCTAGTATAGGTTTCTTCAATAGTAGTGTACATTCACGACCTCGACACTAAGGGTCGAACCTGGGACCTTCAAATCTCATGGTGAACGAACACTTAACCTTTAAGCACTACCACTAAACCATCATACAATGGTTCGTATCTTTAAATTCAATTGAGTTGTGATATTGGAGCACTATGGTGTGGATGACCAACTACTTCACATTTCAAACGATTAAACCCCACCAATCACAGATTCTCATTATAACTCACTTTTGTTATTGGCATGAAGTGGGCTTTTAAATGTAAAGTTAAACCTATGGATTTAAATGGAATAATTCTATTTCTCTCATCACCATTCCATTGTTTAGCTTTCCAGCCTAATAATATACGATTATGGCATAATCGGGGTATATTACTCCAATTGGTGGGATATTCTGTGCCCGCGAAACATTGTCTTCAAAAGTAAGATAGTTGTATTTCTTGCATTATAATAATTCTTATGTATAAATTCTCACTAAGATCTATTCTATTTGTAATGAATCCGTAGTGAAGAGTAAGTTTATTCAATAAAATCACACACAAACACTGGAATGAAGTCGATGTTATACTGTTATTGAATAAGGATGTTGCAACATAAGTTAATTAATAAGTAATGAATTATTTTGTTTACTGCACATAGATATGATTCTCTTACAGTTGATTATCTGCGTTTCCATCATCATCATTATTATCGATTACTCTGCTAAAGAATGATAAGAGTTTGAATCCCATGAAACTGTAAACCACATTAATAACATTAACTAAACACGTAGATAATGGTCACGCACACAACAGTGAATAATAATTAATCAAATGAATATATAAACAAGTCAATTAGTCGATTATGAAGAAATTTTATTCGTTCACTTCTTTTATGAAATTGTATATGCTAATAATGTTGCTTTAGGGAGAAATATAAAAGTTTACGACCAAACCATCCAATTCAGAGGAGAATACAACACATTCAAAATCCTTCTTTTGAGCTATAAATATTTTCAATAGTTATACTCTTTCCTCTAGACCTATTCACACCCACTATAGTAAATAATTCACTTAATCAGTGTCTTTATTATGCGATTAGGGAATAGGTCAGTCAATTTTACAATGTTCCTAAAACTGAGAGAGCTAGATGAATGTGGGGTCAGAAGTACTCTTTTTAAAATTAACTTTAAACTTATAAATAGACACATAACTAACTATTTAGATAAAAAGTACATAACATCGCAACCTATCACAATTTGTGGAGGTTCTAGGATCTCTATAATTTAAATTACGAACTGGTATTCGCTGGACTACCAATCAAAACCTGGTAGCATTGGATAGCCATTTCGTTCTAGTATGAGACTCGTCCTCAGTAGTACGTATTCACGACTCAATCACCTTTGGTATCCCAAGCGGATACTTAACTTTTAGATCACCAAGCAACAGGCGTCAATCAGGTGTTTCTTGGGCTTCATATTAGTGCCTCTAGGTCTCTAAGACCACTAATAATCTAGTTTTCTTTTTAGACTCCTCAAGAAGTAGTATCCTTGAGTAATATAGACAACTAGGAAGTGATAACCGATCACACATGCTTTCAAAATCACCTTGTTACCAATCAAGTTCATTCTTTTCATTTAATTGAACTCATTCTATGACAAAACTAGAGATAACCATGTTTCATATGTATTTTTTAAATTTTTTTAATGTTTTATCTTCTGTTTTTTAGAGCTGTTATGTTATTGAATAAACAAAACCCGTTATCATATCGTGATAATCCAAATGAATTGGCATTTTTCAGTCTTGTATTATCTCATTATTTTCTTATTACATATATTTGGTGAGTGTAATATTTGTTGCTGTTATTTTCATCAGTTGATTCGAAATTTACTTAGTATTTTGCTTTATGTGTGTGTCTTTCATATGTATACATAACGAAATTTCTATCTAAACAAAGTGATTATTCGATCATAGCTAATATCCATCGTCAACTACCACATTCATTGACGTGTAATGTAAAAATCAGTCGTAAGAAACCTAGAGGTGGTCGAATTGAAGAGACACAACATTAGTCTGTATAGTCGTTGACTATTAGTCTGAGCCATGTTGTTAGTTGTAAATTATCTGGTTTGAGTGATAATCATGATCATTGGTCAGAGATGTTAGACGGACAATATGGTTCGAAAGTGATCATAACGATGAAGATGCACTCACTCTCCGTCTTACTCTATGTACGCTAAGTGATAGTATTTCTTCATACATACTTTTACATTGCTTTTCTTGAACTTGATTCTCATTGTCTAGTCCTTTTCAGTATCTCATTTCTATTACAGTTATTTACATTCCTTTTTTATTCATCTGATGTGTAATGATAATTTGGTCTGTTGTACATTTGTACTCAGACTCTACGTTGATTATGATTGAAAATAAAGTCTTAGCATTCCTACAAACTGAAAACCGATTAATCTATTTAGAAAACTGGTGTACTGTGAAATACTTGTTTAAAATACATCATAAATAAAATGTTTCATATTACTTACTATCTTTAAGATATAAAGTTCGAGAATGATAATACAGGTCAATATAAATAAAAACATTATTATATGCTAACGAAGAATAAATGAATGGTAACTGCTAGGGATTATCTATAGATTATTATTCAACCATTCTTATCGGATAGTTATTAAGTAACTAGATTGTATATATATTCGTATTCCTTTTATCATAAGCTTTCATTTGACCTATTGACTATTATTATACGATTTAATATTCTTAAGTTATTCCCGATTTATTAGTTATGGTATTTTATACTCACAACCACTTTTGACTCGATTTTGTACAATCATTATTTTGCATTTCATGGTATCTTGTGGTCTAGTCTATTTGTACATAAACTGTGAGTATATCTGAAATACTTGATTCATGAAGTGGAAGCTGAGATTGTGTTCTGGACACAACGGGCAGAGCAAAGTAAGAGGAACTAATAAGGACTGAGAGTTGACTCTAGGTTGTTCGTGTTGGCCAATGCTTCATTGGTTTAACAAACGTCCAAAGCCGCATAAGTCGGTGTTCTGATTGGCAATTTAGTTATGTGATATATTGGCATGCCAATAAGAACATAACCGAGATGTTTAATGTAATCAAATGTAAATTGAATTATGAAAATAATTGAGGAAATAGAAGATGGATACTTGTTTCAATGAGATTATAATTTATGAACAACCTTTAAGCGATGTCCAAGTTGATCTTGAGAAAATTCACCTGCTCACAAAGATCAAAAGATGGTTATAAATTAGTATGAGGAATTAGGATTAAGATTAGTGATTAAATTAAGTATCTTTATTACGAACTGACATCCACTATAATGCCAAAATGCTATTGAACTATATGAATAAATGAATTTCACATCAAAATCCAAGACACTTGCTATCTTTAATCTTATTGGTCCGTTCATAAATTTATAAAATCTCGCTCTTGTTTCTTTTCAACATTCAAAGTTTACTTCTTTTAGAAATCCAAAAGTTGAGCATTATGAAAGCACATAGTGACGTTTTAACATTTAAGTATAATCGAATTGGAAATAAAACATCAATCTCAACCACATATTCTGAGTGAACCAGTCAGTTTATATATTTATTTATTTATCTCACATTGTAGTAGTTTCCCTGAGTATTGCGCGTAATAACCCTTCTATTTTACCAATACAAAAAAATGTTTGAGTATTGATATATATATATATATATATATATATATATATATATATATATATATATATATATATATATATAGTTTTGGGGGGTTTTATTTTCACTTTCTTGAGGGAGTTTTTATATTCTAATCTAATGAGTGTCTTTTTAAAAAGTTTGTCTTTTAATTTTTCGTATGTAATTTTTTTGAAAGACTACTACATTTTTATGATGTTTTTACTACTTATTTCTTTTAAGTAGCTGAAATTTATTTACACTAACTTTCATTTTTTTGTCGATAAAACAACAAGTACGTTTCTATGTTTTTATTTTATTTGAACACATAAATATCGGTTAAAAGGGGTACCGAATACATTCACCTGATTTATGAGTGGGCTGTGTCACTACCGAGTGTCCAGACCAAAGCAGGTGGTTTTCTAAGAGGGCCATACCCGAAACCTTCGACCAAAAAGTCTGATCCACAAGACAGTGGAGTAACTTACGGAGATGCAATCCCATGGTAGCTGGTGACCGATAATTGATTCATACACCATTTTTTCCTTCAGGATCCCGGAGCCCATGTACACCACTGGTTTGAAATCAGTGTTTTCCAAATCCCCTAGTTGGATCCTCCATATAGTTTTGATTATTGTTTGTACTGTTGTGCACATATTACCAATAAATATTGATCACAATTCAATGTTGAATGTCAACACTGAGGTAATTTAAACTTTTATCAAATGTGATAGAAACATTACATATATTAAACACATTAGAGATTATTTAGACTTCAATATTTCAAGGAATAACACGTTGTGGGTCGTTTCAAGCGAAAAGTACACGGTTCTCAAGTTTCAATATTAAACATCAGTACACTGGAATTTAGGTACATTCGGCTGATTGAGTTTCAGATAGAATAAAACACACATTCTAGATTCTATTGTCTAGTCATAATCTTTCAGTTTTTGAAATAAAACATACTTTTTGTTTCATTTTAGTGGATCACCTGATTGGAAAACTGCTGATCAACTTCTTAATTTAACTAAAAATCCAAATTCTACATTTTGTCATAGTTTAGCTGAGGCATGCGCTAAAGGCATCATATTTACAATGCATCCAGATAATCCACCACAAGAAAATTTATCACTAATATGTGAGACATTTGTTTATTATTTGTTTGTGTGTTTTCAATATTCTAAAATGATTTTTCTTGTTGTTTCTCAAACTTGAATTCATTTTTTAAACTTACATTGATACACAGTGTCAATATGGGGTTGTGTAGATTGTTAGACTTCATCAAAATCATGAACGGATCTAGGTCTAACCTGGGAGCATTGGATAACCATTTCGTCATAGTCTAGGACTCTTCAACAGTACACATCCATGACCCCACAATCGGCAATCGAACCAAACATTTTCGGTCTCGCATGCGAATGTTTAACCTCTAGACCATTGGTCTGACATCCAACGGTGTGAGGCAGTTACTCATAAGAGATGACGGAAGATGGTCCCATAATATCGTGGATTGGTTGAAGTCAGACATTAACACCGTTGTATGCCTGTTCATTGGTCCAGGGATTAAGCACTCACGAGACTGAGTGTCCTGGGTTCGTTTCCCACGTTTGTTGTCGGGTATACGCGTTGCTCAATAGTTCTGTAATAGGATGAAATGGCCATTCAATATTTCCAGGTTTCCAGTGATTTCGTAACTTAGATCGGTTCATGATTATAATGATATACAACTATCCAAAACTTCTGTTGCTTGTAGTTTGTTCTTTTACTAGTGAAGTGTGGTATACAACACAGAGGAATCAGGTGGATTAATGTAATTTTGAAGATATTAGCTTCCTTCATATATCCGACACTTAATGTGGCTTGGAAGTAATAAGTCTGAGAAACCTCTAGCTCAGTTTTATTCAAGTCCTTTAGTGTAATTACTCAATCTTTATCTATACTATTTGACTGGTTTTTGAACAGACATAGTTTGTCGTTTTCCTATTTTAACCATTACTCTTATTGTGAAGGTGTAGCGATTGACTTTGTTGATCGAGGATTCTTTTGACAGTAACTGAGATTGTAAGATGTGTTGTTGTAAAACTACATCAATCTACTGAATATCTTTTACTCAAACACTTACTGCTGAGGTATATACTTATGACACACTATTATTTAAATTAGTTACATTCAGTGTCGTCCATCTTCTCTGTTTTTATTTGATTTTTAAATCTTTGATGTACTTTTAAACTGGGGTAATACTCCTTTTATCTTACGTTTCAAAGGATTACAATTCTACCTGGAAATTCACTTATTGAGTTTAAGTGTGCAAATGACATAATCTTCCTTGGTAAAGACTAACAAAATTTAGGATCTTCTGAACATTTCAAGTAACTATACAAAAATGCTTTTCTTTTTATCTCCGTCTAAAACCAAAATTATATTTCGAAACTGATCTATGCCAATTCCTAGTTTGGCCTTTGTGAGTAAACTAGTTCATATTTCACAAATCCCTTTAATAATCTTTAGCTTTTCACTAACCCTAGCGGATTAATAATTGGCTGAATGTTATTAATTATGTTTTTTAAACATGTTGATGGTGGGTAACAACATTTATTACTAATGATGCAGACCAAATGTTCATCCACCTATCGAAAGACGAGTAAAACCAGTAAGATATGATGTTTGCTAGTCGAAGACATGTAATTGACCAAAAGTGTCTTTAAGGTATATTGGAAGCATTGGACAAACAATGTCAAAGTTAGAGGTTCAGTTCTAGGTGGATATAGTTAATGGATTAATGAATTTATGAATGTTTGTAAAATGCTGTGATTTAGATACATATTACACGTTTTAAGTCACTATCTATCTCCATGCATTTTGCTGGTCAACACAACAATAGGCTAGAAACAGCTAAGCAAATACATATGTCATAAATCAAACTCCAGGGTCTCATATCGTAATCTGTGGTTAGGAATCTTATATGACATGAGTCAAAATCAGTCTTAACCTTTATTTTTAAACCTATTCCATACTTTACTAATATTAAGTAGTTCGTTTTGAATGATAACTTATTGTATCTACTATTCTGATATTGTTTATGTGTGGTTAGCGGGTTGGCTTTTTGTTACAGCAAAAAAAAAGCATTTTACCACTGATTTTCGTTTGATTTAGAGTCGATTCGTGTTATTTTAGTGGTTTCTTTTCCACAATCAATTTATCATTAAGTAGTGAGTAATATCATATTCGTCGTTTAATGCTTATCGAACAATTTGTTATGTGTGTGGTCACTAGTCTAAGTGACATGACATTGTGTACATTAGATTTTTGTTGTTTAGTGACAGCTGACAAGAAGTTTTGTGCCAGTTGACACTCGTCAACAAATTGTACTTGTAATCTCAAGAGAACTGATACTTCTTGGTAGACTCGTCACCCAACTTCTCATTCTGAGACGTTATCACTAAGCCATTCGAGCGGCGAATAACCTGTAGGATTTAGATATTTACAACTGATTAATAACTTTGTTCCTATTCTATATTCATCTGTGGATTTAACTCTTGTATCTTATTATTATCAGTACGGGAATTTGTTGAGATTGTAGTATTTTAACGGTTGAATTTAAGAGTCGATCTGTGCTAGATTAAGCGTTCGCGTGCGAGACCGAGGGTCTTGAATTCAAGTCTTGTACTAGGACAAAACGGCCGTTCAATACTTCTAGGTTTTCACTGGTAGTCTATCTTAGATCAATTCGTGAATTTAACTGTTAAAATATTTTATTCTTAATATTAGTATGATTACTCTCCATCTATTGATCTCATCACATTGTTTTGTACTTTGTTGATTGATTACATGTCCATATTTATCTATTTCTTTTTGATTAATTATTTATTTTCAAAGGTTTAACTGAAGAAATTCAACGTCTTGTTAATCAAGGATCATTAGTTACTAAATCTGCATTACAATTTCAACCAAATGCTGGTTTCTTATTATTATTAGTTATAAAATTAATCAATTGTCCATATTTTGGTCCAATACAAGAAATTCAAAAATTACACACTTATTTAACCGGGATTATGAAACAGACCCAATCATCCATATCATCATCATTATTATCGTCTTCTCCTTGTTCATCAACTGATCAATATTATAATATTTCATTACCATTAGCTTATAATTTAAGTCAAATTGGTGTACGTTTAGGTCAAGATGTTGATTGGTTAATGAATTCACCATTATGTAAATTAATTTATGAAATTTCATCAAAAAAACAAATGGAATATGAAAATTTATCAAATTTACCAGATTTATTTACTAATCGTATTAGTGATAATTATTTACCATTAGGTGGACAATTAACTGAAAATGAATTAAATAATTGGATTATGAATAATACATATTTATCATTATGTTCTGTAAGTTAAATTCATTCTAGTTATCTTCTTTCTTTCTTCATTTATTTGTTGTTGATTATTGTTGATTATCATGTAATTTCAATGATTAAGATAATGAGTCAGTTGAAACTAGACCACCATGGAAAACCTGGAAGCACTGGACGGCCGTCTCGTCCTATTGTGGGACTCCTCAGCAGTGTGCATCCACGACCTCGCCCCCTGAGAGATTCAAACCCAGGACCTACTGGTTTCGCGCGGGAGCACTTAACCACTAGACCACTGAGCTGGCCGGCATCCAATGGTGTTAATGTCTAACTTCAACTAATCCACGAAATTGAGCGAGGTCGTGGATGCGCACTGCTGAGGAGTCCCACAATAGGACGAAATGGCCTTCCAGTGCTTCCAGGTTTTCCGTGGTTTTCTAGCTTCAAGTAACTCATGATCTTAATCATTGAAATTACTATAATATCCACAAAACCCATCTGAGATTATCGTGTAATAAAAACAAATTACTTACTTACGCCTGTTACCCTTCACAGAGGAGTATAGGTCGCTCACTAGCATTCTTTATTGAACTCTGTCTAGGACAATCCTTTCCAGATGCTATTCATCCTTTTGATGTCTGCTTCCAATTTCGGACACAATATATTCTTTGGTTTGCCTCTTTTCCATCTCAAATTGGTAGACAATAAATCAATAATGGAATTCAACTTTTTTTCTTTCTTAGGAGAAAACATTTGTTCTTCATCAATGGGATTGGAAAATGGTTTCATGGTAGAAATACAAGTCATTAGACTCTATTTCAGTGATCTGGAAGTTAAGCGTATAATGAAAAGTTTGAAGGTCCTGGATTCAATCTGTTGTGGGTTTGTATATGCACACTACTGAGGAGTTCCATACGGCGATGATATAGTTATCTATTGCTTTATAATCTTCAATGGCTGTCGAACTGTACAATATATCAACACAACAAGATGAAATTCACAAGACAAATCTCAGAGTAGTAACAGTAGTAGTGGTAAACAGTGTCAGTGGTAGTAGAATAGATAAAGCACAGATATTACGATTCGAGAAGAAAGAATGCATTCTCGGAATGAAAGTATTAGACAAATTTAAAACTCAATATTTTTAGGGTAGACAAAGAGTGAACACCTCTAGGCTATGTTATTCAGTGTTTTCAATGGTTGGTTGCAATAATTTCATAAACTCAAACCAAGTAATGTGCAATTACTTACACTCACATCCATCCTCTCCCCTGCATTTGGTATCAAATATTCGTTTCCAATATTAATACTAATTATAAGCAAGTATCGTTCGCTTCGAGTCCCAGAGTGAACATCAACTCTGAGATTTAGGTACATCCAGCTGACGAGTCCCAAACAGGACGAAACGCGCGTCCTGGATTCCACTTCTAGCCACTATCCATCTTTGCTTATAATGCTTGTAAATTAAGGCAATATCGAGGCATACGCACAGTATGCACATATGCCAATAAGAGACTGATCAATTTCAGTCCTAAAACATTAATGGGAAGATTCAAGTAAAACAATATCAAGTGAATTAATACTAATTAGTTCTCATAAATCCATTGATCTAATAAATATATCTTATGAAGTTATATGATTGATTTTTTTCTTTCCTTTACTTGAAATAATCATCGATGATATTCATTAGTCGAGAAAATCTTCTGGTCTAGCATATATATCACGTTATTTAATTCAACGTCCAAATGAATCAATTCGATGGATATTTTTATTTGCTTGGTTATTAACTAAAAATCCAATTAGTCGAATTACAAATTTATCTACAATTGAATTAAAACAAAATACACCAAGTATAAATACTTCAATGGAGACTAAATTAACAATCTATACAAATTTAATTAATAAATGTTTATTATGTATCAATCAATTGCGTAATGAATGTCCTATGAATTCAGTAAGTTACCGAGAGAATATTATTATGATTGATAGATTTATTGTTGTTGATATTATTTTGATCTGCTATGGTTAAACCAATCATTATTAATGAACTAGATCAGGGGGTGTGGCCCCCTAAGAAAACCACCTGCTTCGATCTGGGTACCCGGGCAGTATCACAGCCCTCACACAATGTGTGGCGCATATATATTTGGTGCCCTCTTGTACCAATATTTGTGTTCAAATAAAATAAAACAATAGTAAGTAGTGTGGTGTATGCAAATTATGTCGACCGACATAAGTAGTATGTAACATCAATCCGAAATGGATTACATGTCAGCAAAAGGCTAAGAAGGATCTAGTTGAAGAAAATATGAAGGGAAATAGAAAGGAATTATGAATTGGGCGAATCATACAGAATTTGAAGGACCATTAACAGAAGATTTGCAAATGAAGTATTGAATATATATGGTTTTCATTTTTTATGTAGTAAATTGGTTGTGTCCTCGTGAGTCTTCGTTCATTACAGTAATAGTAGTAATGACCTGATATTGATGAAGTTTATTGACGTTTTCAGAAATTCTATCCCTTATGCTCCAATTAAAATAGGAAAGAAAAAAAAGACAACCAATGTAATCTTAATAGATATCAACTCAAAAAACATAAAATATAAAACCACAATGCAAAATATATAAGAAATCATGTCCATGTATTTAGCTAGGACACTTAAATTTGATAAGTAGAGTTGGATAATGGTTGGTTGTAAAATCCACGACATATATTTCATCCTATTTTGGACACTTCAGCTGGATATACATGCACACCAATCTTGATAGTCTCTTTGTGACCATATATATATATATATATATATATATATATATATATATACGTCCCTCATGTATTTGAACCAAGCCTTATCATAGTACATAAACGGCATCAACGAACTGCGTGTTTCATTTAACACATATTTGGCCTACTATATTTGATCTTGAACTAATATGTATGCACAAGTACATCATATGTCTGAATGCTCCTAATGCATGTTATTATTACATATTGTTGTGAGCATAGTAATCATAGTGATAATGTTTATGTAAGTAATAGTGAGGTTAGACGCAGGGTATTAGGTAATGATGGTAAATCAGTTGATGAAGTTGTTAATCTTCATCGACTGAGATGGTTGGGCCACGTGTTACGTATGCCTAAACACCGATTACCACTTCGTGCAATGCTAACCGATGTTGGCGATGATTGGAAGAAAGTTAGGGGCGGCCAAACCAAAACGTGGCATCAGTGCTTGAAGATACTAACCTCTAGTCTGAGCCATGTTGGTAGATGCAGACTACTTGGTTGGGGTCCGCGTGACTTTCGTAACCGATGGTTGGAGACTCTTGGTGACATGGCTCAGAATCGATCACAATGGCGTGGATGTATACACTCCCTGTCTTCCTTTAAACTAAGAGATTAAAATCACTTCATATCTTTCTTTCTACGTACTAATTCTTTCTTCCTGTACTGTATCCTTATATGCAATCTTTCTCCTATATATTACCACCTTTGACCTAACCACTGCTATGAATCCGGTGTTCATCTTGCTGTGCTAATGCGGTATGGCAACCTGGACCGATGCACATATGTGCCTGGTCCTACGTTGTAGCTGACTGACTGATAATGTTTATAGTTGTGTGTGTGTATTTTTTTCTTTTCACTTTTCTTTTTTGTTTGTTTTATTCAACTTTAGATATTCGCTAGAGCTTTAGTCAATTTTAGTTTATGGTGGTTAATTGTGAATAAAGATTATCAATTATCTATACAACATGATGATTTATATATGAATTTATTGTTAAATTTACGACGTGCTGCTATTCTCTTCCCAGATACACCGAATATATTGTCAACATTAAAATTAATATCAGAAAAAATTTAAATGGATTGTCCAGTGTTTATCTTTCTTGAATTAACAATTTAAAGAATCATTATTTACATGGATTATTACTATCATTATGGAAAGTGAATTGTATCACCGGTGTTTTTATTCCCCCTTTCATTTTTTACAAGTTATACTTTTAATATAGACATGTTGTTTTTTTCTTGTTGTCGTTGTTGGTGGTGATGGTAGTGGTGCAAAAAATCTTGTTTTAGATTCAACTATAACTAACAAATCTGAGGTCGATTAAAATCAGTTCATATTGATATTATTGTTTATTTATTTAAACACATAAACATTGATACAAGGAAACAACAAATATACATGCGCTACACTTTATCATTCGATTTGTTTAAGGGTCACTCCCCGAGTCTTTGACCTATAAGTCTGATCTACAACGTGATGGAGCGACGTTAAGCAGAAATGCAGTCGCATAGTGGCCGCGGACCAAAAATAGGTTGATACGACACCTGTTTCTTCAGGATCCTGTAGTCCATGTACACCATTGGTTTGAAAACCGGGGTTTTTCAATTCCCCTAGTTGTGTCCTTTGTATTCGCCAACCCGTTTAAAGCGTCGGACATTCAGTTGTCGTCCTCTGAATTTCATAAACAACACCCCTTGCCGCGAGACTCACGGCATTGAGAAAGACTTCCTGGCAGTGACTATGTATGTGAGAGCATTTCGATAGGGTATATATATATATGTATAATGTATATTGATTCATAATTTCAGGATCCAAAAATAAATACTGGAATTTTTGTAAGCTTTTGGATTAATTAGTGAACTCATTCATAGTATTTCTCATATCAGATACATCTTACGAAAATATTTACCAGCATATAAGAAACAAATTAGATTTTTTCTAGGTTGCACTCGTTACAGACTGATTTCAGTTTCGGAATTATTAGAAACCCGAAAGCATAATAGAGCTTTCTCTTCTTAGTATAAGATTTCTCAATATTGCATACCTATAACCCTGTCACAAATCAAAAACCTTACCTTCGGGTATTATCTTTAAACCCTTGAGTCAGTATCCACTGGTTTATATTTCCAAATTCAGTCATTTCACAATACTATGATCGGTGGTAACTGTCTAATTCACATGGTCATTTGGTGATGCAAACTGTCTTCAATTTGAATAATCCTAACAAGTTTCCTGTTTTAGAAATCAAGATTGTTTTATTCAATCATTATGATGAATTCATGTCACATGACATATGATATGAAGTTTGCTATTCAAGCCGTTGGTGTTAACTTCTTATCCGCTTTCTTACTTCTACATACGAACCGGAACAGTAGAGAAAAGTGGCAAGTTAGAAATACAAGCTTTACTTCAAAGTCCATTCATGTACAGAAATCAATATTTCTAAGTTTATTGATAAACCGTTAAATTCTAGAAACGATGAGACTATTATATTTGGGCGGTATTTGAGTGACCTTGAAAGTGTCCATCTACTTACTAGGGCATAATGAAGGTCGTAAACCAGTGGGAGAAATTAGAATTATAATTTACTGTCGATGGTCAGCGTTAAAAATCAGACATAGGGTTTTTCATCACGAATTGATATAACCTAAATGCTATTTAGCCAAGTGGATAGATGGAATTCGCACCAAAATCCATTACCTGTTAACCGAAATCTGATTGGTTCGTCCACAAATTATAGTCTTGCCGGAAGGTGTTTTCTTTTTTCGTCAAACAAATAACAATACCTGTTGTATGAAGACTCCCTGCAAAGATTCTTTTAAAGTAGGGTGAACATAGAATAGAGACCAACGATTTCTCAGTGGTTAAGTACTTGCACTATTCAGTCGTAGTTTTCTAAAAACAAAAGCTTTAATTCGTTACAACAGCTCATTATCTGACAAACAGTATTTCTATACTTCTGTTGGATGTGTATCACACCACAGGATATAACTATCATAAGATGTGTATTGGGATTTATTCTTCTATATAAGTCATACTACTAGTAAAGAATTAAGTAAAATCTCTTGTAATGTTAGACATTTAAAAGGGAGTGGGATTTAAATAGTACCAATGAATAAACAGTTTATGTTGCAATTGTGTTCACACTGTGGGCGACTGGAAATATAACTATGTACGGAGTGTATCTAGCAGGACTGGCTAGAACATCACGTATATTCGTTATTCCAGTTTCAGCATTTCCTAACAATATTAAATTCGGTCATCTCCCAAATAGGTTGTAATTAGATACTCTCCATATAAACCATAGTTTTCTCCAACGGATATGAATGATGTGTCACTTGAAGTACAAACTTCTTATAACCATTGATATTAAAAACCAGTCAAAGTACAATACCATTAAGTTACCGTTTTGCGTTGCTACGCAAATACTTATTCCTATTTAACGCAACAGAAAATCTTTCTGAAAACAAACTTTAATTCAATATTATTTACCAGTATAGGGTTGTGAGGATTGTTGAGTTTTGACTGAGATCATGAGTCAGACAATTCTAGACCACAATCGATACCTGTGACCAATGGAGCTAAACCTTGTCGGGTGAGGTAGTTGCCTACCGAAGACAATAAGAGATGATCGTGCAATTTCGTGGATTTGTTGATGTAAGACATTAATACCGTTGTATGCCAGCTCAGTGGTCATGAGATTAAACACTCATGCGCGAGACCAGATATACTGAGTTCGAGTCCCACATGCAAGATCGTGGATAAGCACTGTTGAACCCCATACTAGGACAAAACGACCACCCGGCGTTTCGGTTTTTTAACGGTGGTCTCAGTCAGTCAGCTACAGCGTAGGACCAGGTACATATATGCATCGGTCCAAGTTGCCATACCGCATTAGCACAGCAAGATGAACACTGGATTCATAGGAGTGGTTAAGTCAATGGTGATAATATATAAAGGATAGATTGCATATAAGGATATAGTACGTGAAGAAAAATTTAGTACGTAGAAAGAAAGATATGAAGTGACTTTAATCTCTTAGTTTAAGGATGATAGAGAGTGTATACACTTACACCATTGTGATCGATTCTAAGCCATGTCACTCAGAGTCTCCAACCATTGATTACGATAGTCACGTGGACCCCAACTACCAACATGGATCAGACCAGAAGTTACTGACTTCAAGCACCGATGCTATGTTTTGGTTTGGCCGCTCCTAACTTTCTTCCAACCATCTCCAAAACCGGTTAGCATGGTGCTCTAACTTAGGTCGATTTCTGATATCAATCAATGCTATTTCTTGAAATATTATTTGCAAATGAAATCCACATAACAACATGGTAGAATTCGTTGATATTGTGCATAATACTAAATTTTCTTTATTAGAAACAACTTGAAATATTTTGTCATAGTTTCTTCATCTGTCCTAAAACTTTTCATTGCTATTTTTCATCTACTATTAATTTATATCAGTAGTAACAAACTTTTGACAAAAAACGTTCCCTGTTACTCATTCATTTGTGATACTATTTTATATAGACCATGTTAAATTTACGAGGTTGCGCCACCGTACACCATTGTCTTCAGTGAGCCGATATCTCACAACAGACCTTGTTGAACTCCACTGGTAACGGCTTCTCACTAGTGGTTAAGTGCCCGCGTGCGAACCTAGTTGGTCCTGGGCTCGAATCCCGCGAGGTGCGGGATCGCGGATGCACGCTGGTGAGGAGTCCCATACTAGGATGAAACGGCCGTCCAGCACTTCCAAATTTTCTATGGTGGTCTAGCTTCAATTGACTCATGATTTCAACCTGTGAAATTTCTAAAAATCTTCACAAAACCCATGTTAAATTTAGTTTTAAAAAATTTTTTTTCTTTTTTATGAATAAAACAAGTTAGTTGACATTTAATGATGAGTAAACTTAAAAACCAGGTATTTGTTTTGATTGAAATAAAAGGATTGGTCGGGGGGAGGAGGGAAGAACAATTGAAGCATTAATTTTAATAAGAAGATTATTAACTACTTAATTACATTTCATTTTCTTTTTAAATAGTCAGATGAATATGTTTATAGTTTATAAACTTTGTTTCTCTTTTTCTTAGATTCAATACACATCTACAATTTTCATAAATAATGAAGTTAGTTAGTTAGTCAGTTAGTTAGTTAACTACAACATAGGACCAGGCACATATATATATATATATATATATATATATATATATATATATATATATATACATGGGTTCAAGTTGCCATATATGCAATAATAGATGAATTCATAGACTTTTAATTCATTTAAAGAAATAAAGTGAATGTAATAGAAAATAATTTAAAATAAGAGGATAATGATTCAATTTATCAAAGATCAATTTGTTTTAATATAATGATAATAATATTATAGTTTATTATTTTATTTCAATAGGGAATTATATTAAATCTTTCAGTATACTTTTATATATTTCTTCAGATTATTTTTTTACTCATCGTTGCTTAAATATTCTTTTGTGTATATTTTATTCTCAATTTTATTGATTTTGATTACATAATATAAGTAATAATATTAGGGGTAGATAGAAATAGGAGGAGGAGGAGAAGGGAAATGTGGTGGTGGTGATGATGATGGAGTGGAAATGGAAGAATTAAAAAAGCTGAGAATATCATGTATACACCGTCAAAAGTATCATTCTAAAAGATGTTACAGATATACGAAAGAAAATAATAGTTTTTTTTCTAGTTCTAAGAGATAGGAAATCATGAATTCAATTTACTGTTTCACTCACTCTCTCTCTGTCTCTCTCTCTATGTTTTATGTTATTCGTTGTTATTACTGATTTTATTATTATTATTATCATTGCTGTTGTCCAAAGATAATATACATTAAGCCTATGTTAGCTAATTAAATATAAGCCTATATATGCTTATACATACATACATATAATAAATATAGAGCTTAGATTAATCACATTCACTATTATCTTATCAATAAACAAGGGTAATAAGCGTAGAAAAGCTGGAAGAAATCGAATACTCCCTCTCTCTCTCTCTCTCTCTCTTACACACACATACATACACA